ATTGAATGTCATGTTAAATCAGATTTAGACATCATCAGTTGTTTTTTTTAGGTAAAAGCTATGCTTTTTAAATCTTTTCTTTCTTACAAACTTGAATTGTAAGTAAACTTTAGTAAAAGTGCTAAAAAACTAGTATCTTGTAACTTGACTAGTTTTAATAGTCAAGGTGATTCCTTATTGCTATTTTTTTCTTTCTCTTTCTAACAGGTCATTGCAGTGGTGATGGATATTTTCACAGATGTTGATATATTTTCTGATCTTCTGGATGCTACTGCACGTCATGTGCCTGTCTATATCTTGCTGGATGAACAAAATGCCCATCATTTTGTTAACATGGTGGCAAGCTGTAAAGTTAACCTGGATATGATCCATGTAAGTTTAGTTGATCTCAACTAGCCTAAGTTTTAATTACAATTTTAAGAAAATACAGGCTTAATGGTGACTTCACTGGTTACAGCTGATGCGGGTACGGACAGTTGCTGGCATTACCTATTTCTGCCGCTCAGGGAAATCATTTAAAGGTCAAGTGATGGACCGCTTTCTTTTGACAGACTGCAGAGCAGTGATCAGTGGAAATTACAGGTGAGCTCAGTGACATTTGAATGCAGATAAGAGTTCTTCTTTGTATTGTATGACATTCTAAATGTTTCTTTCTCTCTTTTTCCAGCTTTATGTGGTCTTTTGAGAAGATCCACCGCTGCATCGCCCATTTGTTCCTCGGAGAACTAGTTGCCACTTTCGATGAGGAGTTTCGCATTTTGTTTGCTCAATCTCAGCCTCTTGTTGTTGAAAATGCCCTTGTACCCATGCCACAAGATAGTTACCTTGGCAGCCAGTTCGGCTTTAAAAGGACTCAGTCACTAAGGAATCCCAGAGGAAATCCTCGCCAGCCTGAACTCACTGGTTACCCATACGGAGATCGTCTTGAGTCTTTTCTACCTTTTAGGAGGGATGACCCATTCCGCCATACGATTGAACCAAGTCCAGGTGCTATGCAGGTCACAAAATATGCAACACAGCAGTTCAGGATGCAACATTCATTCTTGGATCAAGGACGCTCAATGATGGCGTCCCAGCAGCTGGAAATGAACGCCTTTAAGAGACATAGCTATGCAGAGGGAACCCGCGAGACCTACGCCTCTTCCCGGCAGTACATGAAACACCGTGTAATGAACAACTTGGAGGAGAAGGAATCGCATTACCAGCGAGAACAACATTACTATCAGAGCGAGGGCATGGGACCTGATTCTGAGCGTGGGCCATATGACCGTCTTAACTATGGCACGTACCAGACAGATCAACAGTCTGATTCTGCATATCCCCCTGAACTTGAAGCACCAGGAAATGTGAATGTTTTATCTTCTGATGACCTCAAAAGTGATTCAGAAAAACAATATTACGCAGGAGGGGGACGCTATGATCCACATAGCCACAAGAGGCCTGCTGCGGGCCACTCATATGCCTGTCTGAGTTCACCAACTCAGCCTCATCCTCCAGACCAGAAGCAGTTGTTCTCCTCTGGAGAGCAGGTACGCCAGTCTCAGGATCCCAGTGTGAAGCAGGGATTGCGGAGCTGGAGAATCAACTCTTATCTCAGCACTTATGAAGATACAGGAGAGGAGGGCCTGCATCAGCCCATGGGTCCTGATACTTTTGATGAGCCACAACAACAACCTGACAGCAGACTTTATGGTTCAGAGGGGCCAGGCCTTAATTTTCCCAATAGAGAACGTCCAAATATCCCAACTAAGCCAAACGTTGACTTGCGACCCCGCTTTGGTAAACCCATAATCAAAGATAGGAATCAGGTAAAAGATATTCTCTCTGACGTGGGTCCCACGAGTACTGATACATTAAAGCCAGCTATTTCAGCTTCATCACTAGCATCTTCAACAGACAACGAGAAAGAGGCGGAACCCAGGGAACCTAGGGAACCAAAGGAAATCAGCATTACCAAGCATGAGTCGTACCGGTCTCGAATTAACCCAATGTTGCAAAGGAGCTCAAGACTACGTTCTTCTTTAATCTTCAGCTCCTCAAAGCTGGAGCAACACAGTTCCTCGCAAGCTAAGGCTGGCGGGGAGGTACAAGGGGAGAAAGATGAGAGTGAGCCTATTCGATACTCATCCATTGTGGCAGAGATTCTTGAGAAGAGGAGATCGCTGTCAAGAGAGCCATTTGATTGGAATAAGCATAAAAAAGCAGATGAAAAAGATGTTAAAAACACATCAACAGGAGACCTGACTACGATCAGAGACTCCAAAGAGGAGCCCATCAAAGAAAAGGAGAAACCTGACAACCCTGAACCTAAGGACAACAAAGTTACACAGCCAACCAAGCCTTCGACATCTCAGCAAACAACTTCTTCCCTAAACGTGAATGATCCAGCAAGCCGACTTCAGTATTTCAAAGATCTGGAGGAAAGGAGAAAGACCTCAAAATTAGAGTCAGATTTGGTTAAAAGTAAAGAAGAAGCCATGAAAAAGCCAGACCTCTCTGATACAGCAACCAAACTCCCAAATGTGGTTGTTTCTTCAGAGAAGTCCACTGTAAAGACACAAGAACCTTCATTTACACTATCAGATCCTGTAACACAGCACCTGGCATTCACATCAAATCCAAAACCTTCTGAAGTCTGTGTGGACAGGCCATACATAAACAGCAAATCTCTGACAGAAAGCACAGTTGATGCAGCTGATGCAGCAAAGAAAGAGCCTGCTAAGGAACCAACTAAGTCACTCCGGCCTTTCCCTTCACCCAAGTTCTTAAAACCATTCAAAAGCTCTCAGTCCTCTCATCGTCGGATCTCATGCGGTGAAGAGATTCTCACGGATGCGACAGATGCTCAAAAGAGCGAGCTTAAGAAGTCCCGCAGCCTCAGCTCATCGGGCATGTCCCGCACAGAGTCCAAAGAAAGCCTCAGCTCCCTAAACTTTGGGAGCTCTGATGGCAAAGATACAAAGGCCCTTGACTTCCTCAAGAAACAAACACAGAGACTGAAGGGTTTCCTTGGGCCAAAGGGAGAAAAGAAGCACTCAGGAGTGTCCAACTCTCAAGAGGACAAGTCAATGAAAACAGTCCCCGAGGTGCAAGAGGATCCCTCAGAAAAAGAGAAACCCTCTGAATCCAAATCATCTTTAACCACAGTAGAGACCAACAAGCCCAATGCTAAATCGACTCAATCACGCTACCAGTCCTCTACCTCGAATGTAATATTCAGTAGCAACCTCAGGGACGATACCAAGGTGATCCTAGAGCAAATCTCAGCAAATAGCCAGAAGAACAGACAGCAGAATGAAGAGTCTGGGAAAAGCGACGGGAGCAAGGAAGACGACGTTTCCAATTCATCCTTACAGGTTCCAAGGAACCGGTTCGGCCGAACTCCAGTCAACCCACAGGAGAGGGACAATCTGCTGAAGAGAATAGAGAGCATGCGCAAAGAAAAGAAAGTCTACAGTCGCTTTGAGGTACTTTTTCGTAACCAAGAAGAGTGTTGCTGGGAAATAGGGAAATAAAGAGAAGGCAGAGCAAGTCTGACTACATTAATCTCATGAGATTCAATATTTGTGATGTATTTTGTGAAATATATAAATTCTAAGCAAAGCATTTAATGTAGCATTGTTATATTTATTGACGAATTGTCTTTTTCCTTTTACGTTGTTTATTTATTATTTGCCTTTACATTATCTTGTGGTATGCATAGAACTGACAAATTTCAACATTAAAAATGCAGTGTCGTTATATCCCATTTCATGCAGCCTTTCATCTATTTATGTTTTAATTTATGATAGAAATAAATCACATAATCTCCTGTGCTATTTGTGGGATGTTTTATTCACATATCTGTCACTCTACTTCAACAGATGGGGAATAACCTGGGATAACAAAACTTGGAGGAAGGGGCCAATTTTCTCACAGAGAACTAAAGAGAACCTGAAACTGAACTAAAAATTGTACCAAACATCCCCAATACTGCTGTGAACTGACAGTGAAGCAAGTAAGTCGCTTCAGATAAAAGCGTCTGCTAAATGACTAGTAACCTAAATGGTCCATGGATCTCGTATAAACACCACCAAAATAGCACAAGCTCAAATATGCTGCAGCAGGAGAAATATTCCTCGCTCTGTGCCAATCTGAGCCCCCACAGATGATTTACTTTGCCCTTATAAGGCATCAGGGCATACCTCAAGAGTAATCGCACACAATCCCTGCAGGACAGAGAATCACAAAATCAGGCCAAAGGAGGGTTCGAATGTCAAGAGGCTTTTCTCAGCTTGTTCTTGTTCTACTGGACCTTTTGGTTCCTTGTGATGCATATGTATGCCATTTTCTGCTCTGGGTAAGGATATTAACATGTCAGGGCAGAACCTGAGATATGCTACTCTAAAGGCACTAAAACACACCCTTTGTTAAAGTACACCACACAAACACCCCAGGACACGTCATGCTGAAATTATGCTTTCGTGGTGGTGACTGTGCCAATGGATCACAGGCATAAAGGAAAAACGGAGATGGTTGGTAGACAACGCTTTTACTTTTGAAGGCGAAGAACACTGAAACTGAAAATGACTGGAAAATATGTAAGGGATGTATGAAAATGAAAGAAGGCTTATTCATTCCATTTTCCCTCTATTTAAACGGTGCTGTCAAGGGAGTGGATTGAAAGCTGAGAAAGTGATTTGGGGGAAGTTGAATGATTTTGCAGTATAATAGCTGCATACCTACTACACATGCATGAACTGTGTTGTCAAGAGAATCTGTAAAATATTAGTTTGATAAAGATGTTCTCAGGACTGGGCTTAGGCCTGTATTTTGTCAATGCAAAATGAAATTGAGATAGAATGGTATTACTGAACACCAAAGAATTCCCAGAGTGCCCTGCTGGATGTGTCATAGGACTGATTTATGGAAACTGGAAGTTGAGTATCGGGTCGAGGAGTTTGAATTTGATAGTGTCATTGATACAGTTTATGTATATAAATACAAATCTTGGGGAATTTAGGCTTGTTTACAAACTTTTTTATTGTGTCTTATAAATTCTGAATAAATGATTTAGAAACGTTTATATACTAGGTATGGGTATGATTTGATTGAGGTTTATATCAGTGTTTGTACTTTTTTATGGTATAACACAACGACGGTACATATGGCAACAGGTTAAAATAGAAGAACAGAACCCAATAGAAAAAAACGCTTCTCTAACTTCTCTATCTACTGTAAGATTAGCATTTGTTGGAAAACAAAAGGGACTCAACTCAAGTTTGCGAAATGTGTGCTTTTTCATGCTTTTTCATAAGTGTCCATCTTTGCATTCTGGGTGTGGCTTAACCCGTCCAGCAGCTTGGTCAACTGCTCCCGTTTCTGTTGCTCTGTAGGGATAGACACACAAACACACAGGAAAGTATCAGATTACTCTGAGGATGAAGTTGGTCTCTTGTTTAAGGATGCTGAGAGCTCAGTTTTAGGTCTTGAGGACACTTGTGTATGAGGTTACTTAACTGTGCAATTCTATCCTTGCAAGTCACCTTACTATACTATCTTTATTCAGCGCAAGTAGCATGCTAATACAGTAGAGGGCAAAAGTGATGTTATAGCCTTGTAAGGACATTATGCAGTCAATTTGCCTGGAGTCGACTGTTTTATTTGTGATAAACACAATGAAACATGCAGACATCATTTTTGGCCAGGATTCAGACAAAGAATTTATGAACATGCAAATACAAGCGAGAAATGCTTTAATGCTTTAAAATGCGAATGCACACGCAAACTTGACTGTGCTAGTCAGGAAGGAGTGGGGCGTACAAAGAATTCACACATTCTTTAAATTTACAATAGTATTCTTATTATAATTTTAAGTAGCCAATATGACAGACTTGCACTGCACTTTGCACTTACCTACTGTGTTCCACTCCTATTTCAAGCAATTTAAAACTTTCATAGCGAACAGTGTTCATGAAATAAAATAAAACCTGTTGCTGTAGTTTGCCAAATAATTTTGCCAGATAAATACTTCTAAAAAAGTTTTGCATTTTGTCCCTCCATATTTAAAAAAATATATATATTTTTCCTCATATTTTGATGGTTCAATTGAACTTGTAGGGTTATTTAAAACAAATATCCCCTCCAGACATTACTTTTGGCCACTAAATGTATATGCCATTCTCCCTTGAGGACGGACCAAATGAGTCATTTCGGAAAAATTGATTCATTTGACTTCAATGTCTGAATGAAGCCAGAAAGCATCAAACGTCACACTGAACATGCAGCTACACACTGGTCATACTGGAAAGAGCCATAAAACTTAAGCAATGGAACACAATGAACAAAACATACCAGCTTTCAGCAGCTGCTCAGTGGTGTATTCAGCAGACTGTATTTCTGCTGGTAGTCTTTCCGGAGTCTGGAAAAAGAAAAGAAAATGGAATGTAAAATGCCACCAATCTTAGCCGTTTATATTTGACAAGTAGAGAAAGCTTATTTGTTTTTATTTTAATATCCATTCTATTAGACCACTTACAAAGACAGTAGACAGGTTTTTATGCTGCTCCATTAACTGCTGAAGCTGATTCTCAAACTTCATTCTATAATAAATTAGATAAAAATTTGTTTCACTAGGCAATACGCTCTTATTTTACAATTGTTAATCCTGATACAATCCTGGACTAGTAGGTTTCCGCATTTCATTAAGAAAATGGGCATTACAATAAATGTTCAAGCGATACATGCAAAAATGTACAGTATGTTCATTTCTAAGAAGTTGTGACAGCATTTCATATCTAATTCTGTTATCTAAAAAGATAGTAATGCTTAAATGCGAGGAGGAGTTTCCATTCACTGTTATAGACAGTGAGTCATACCGAATCTTTCTGTGCTTTAGTTTCGTCTCCTGGATCTGAACGCAGTACTGCTTTACCAGTTCCTCTTTCTGATGGTTCTGCTCAAGCTGCCTACAGAATTACAAGTTAGACTTTAAATCAGATATGGATGATGACACCCCAAACAAATTCTGCTCTCAAAGTCGTCCTATTTTTAATGCAATTTGTGCACTGGTATTGTGTGAATACACACCCTGTATGAGACAGAAGCTTAATGTTTAGATGACTCATGTTGTGTTTTACACGTAAGCAGTTTCCATATAGTGTGCAGTAATTCAGAGCTTTGAGTGTTTTTTGGATATCTACCTTTGTGCCTCTTGCTGGATGTCCTCACATTTGAGCTGCAAAGATCTATTTAACTCTGTATGAAAAGAATATGTGTGGTAACACTGTAAATATATCTGATAACAAAGCTTATTGGTGATTTCATGTACAGTAATGATCATTATATTTGTGTGGTTCTGTACAGTGTTGTATAAATGCAAATCCCTCAGTATTTGGTTTTAGACAAGCACCTTCCTTTTCAGTTAATGTTGCCTCTAACTGTAAGGCTTCAGCAGTTACTGTAACAAAAACAAAACAAAAACTCATTTGAATGAATAGTAATGTATAATTCATGGTCATTTGCCATTAAAAAGTATAGTTCGCCCAAAAATGAAAATTCTGTCATCATTTACACACCATCAAGTGTTTCCAAATCTGTATTAATTTCTTTCTTGTGTTGAACACACACACAAAAAAAAGATAATTTTGAAGAATGTATAACCATACAGCTGACTGTAGTCATTGATTTCAACAGTCATTTCTTTTCCTACTATGGAAGTCAAGAGCTATCGTCAACTTTCTGATTACCATCATTCTTTAAAATATAGTCTTTTGTGTTCAACAAAACAAAGATACAGGTTTGGAACAACTTGAGGTGGAGTAAGTAAATGACACAATTTTTTTATTTTTGGGTGAACTAAGGGTAATGCAAGCATACATACAGGTCTCTTCCTCCTCCTTTCTAGCGGATATGAAGAGTATGGTTTCCTTCACCTCATCTTCAAGGCTTTTCTTGGCTGAAATTAATATGGGTGTTAATTTTTTGCCTTTTAAAAAGTGTTAATTTACAGGCAATTTACCTTGTTGCAGATTTCTGAGTTTGATTAACAGCTCCCCTGGTCTCGGTTCTGTTCCCTTGCCTATAAAACAATACTAAATGTTATGTAAGAAATACAAATCCATTAAGTCCCATTGAGTGGACAAACATTAAAGATCTGGTTTATGGGTGAGGCCTTCTCTATTGTGAAGTAAGTTAACAAAATAAACACAAACTGGATTTATTTTTTAATTAACTACATTGTTTAAAATTAGATATCATATAGCCTAATAGAAATAATTAATATAATAGCTCGTCAGTGATTCATGTCATACCTGGGCATTTTGGTGTCTTTATAATATCTTCAATGCTGAATGATGACTCTGTACAAAACAATATTTAACACATAGCTAGCAAGCTGCAATTCTCCAAAATCAAACTAAACCTGCTTAAGCCTAGTTCACACTACGTGATTTTAAGCCCGATTTAAGCCCGATTTGCAAATCGTTGAGTCGCCGACAAGTCAGGGTGTTATCGCGTGCAAATCGCGGGCGATTAGCGGACGATTAACGCTCGCCAATCCGATAGTGTGAAAGAGCCAACAACGCATCAAAGACAGCTCGCAGACACCTCGCAGACAGGTCACCGAGCTCAGAAAAATATCTAGCATGCTAGATATCTCGAGCAGTCGCGCGACTCAATCTCAGTGATGTCATGAGTACAGCCAATCATAGCAACGCATGGGTTGAGGACACCAGGTAAATCTTACTTTTTCTTTTTTGCATTTTTTTTTTCTCAGAGCAGATCGTCGAGCAAACAGTGTGCAGCACTAGTTTCTGTCTGACGTCCATATTCGCGTGTTGTGTTCTTCTCTGCAGTTTCGCGTCATTTCTCGTTCGTTTTATTGCGTGGTTTTTCGTGACAAAACATGGATTCTAGACCAGATAGAATCGTGTTGTTGTCAACTCGTTATTTGTTTGATTATTTTCAGGATTTAGACCGTACTTTAGTACTGAAACAGCTCTCATTGAGTCACAAATGATATGCTCTTATCATCCGATCGTGGTTGTATCTCTGTGTAGTGCGTTGTTAACTCGTGTAGTGAGTTACCTCCTGTTGTGGATCAATCACGTTGTGTTGTGTGGTGTGAACAGCTAAACAACTTGAACATTCATGATTTCACTGAGAGCAAGTCATTTAGTGTGAACTGCACAGTTCAGCCCGACATTTTAAAATCATGTAGTGTGAACTAGGCTTTAGTTGACTACTCAACACCTCTACACAAAAACAAACAAGAAAACAAAACCCACCAAGTTTCAGACTCATTACGACGCCAGTTAGGTGTTAAATACAACGAAATAACTCTAAATGTGTACAGTAATCAATTATGTTAATGATAATGTCGTTTGTTGTTGTCCGTTGGAATATCTGATGCTCTTCGCGCACTTTCCAACTGCTGTTCACGCGCAGCTGTCTTTTAAATAAAATATTGGGTATTCTCGTAAAAATAAATAAATAAATTATAAATATATATATATAAACTTAAATTCTTTAATTAATTTAAATGTATATCAATATTGATTTAGCAACATATCGAGGGATCACAGACCTCTTGTTAAACTCTTTACATTTGGTTGTAAATTGGTAATTTGGCGCCATCATCTGGTGATAAAAATTAATATGCAAATTGCAAGTCTCTTTTTTTTGAGTCCTATTGGTACTCTTTTAATGCAAAACTACTGTTCGATTAAGCAAGTGTTGAATCAGACTAGTGAGGGATTTGTTTAAACTAAAGAAACACTATTTTACAGTGTCTGTTGCACGTTACATTTAGTTACTACAGTGTATAATTACTATAAATTGTAATTGTAATAGTAAGTTCACGCAGTAATTTATTAATACACTGATTTATTACACTGTTGAGTATAATTAGACTGATTTATACTTTATTTTAGGCTGTCCATGTTACAAAGCTTTTAAAAACCCATCAATTTGATTATAAAATACAAAATATGTAACACAAAAAAGTCTGTGAAAACAAGATTTTTATTTAGAAATAGGAATTTACTGTTAAAACAGTTAAAATAAAAATAATTTTATATTAGTACTTGACAATGAACTTAAAATTCAACTGACAGCAGTGACAAAAAATAAAGTATTGACTTAACATTCAACTTCAACTGTTGTCTCTCTAAATGAATTTTAAAGAATATGAATTTTCAGTAACACTTGTGTAACACACATGTAATGCTTGTAAACCAGATCCATTGTTCGTGGATTCTAAAACATCCATTTGAACCAAGGATAACATGTATTTTACATGTATAACAAAACAACAACTATTTGAATTAAGCTATATTTAGAAGTCTAAAGAAAAAAAACACAAAAAAGCCTCTATAGTTTGTGCTTCTTTAGTTAATGGTTTAGTTCAGGTTAATCCATTGAATTTGTGGATTAACCTGCATTCTATATATAGTGTGTGTGTGTGTGTACACACACATATCTCAAAATAATTGATACTACAACTTCAAGGGGAGGTATTAACCAACAAATAATAAAATGTTTATTTGATAGAGGAAGTAAAATGAATCATGTAGAAGAAAAATCTACAAATAGAAGTAGAAGGCCTTATTTGTGTTTTTTTTCCCTTCAGATTTCTAAATACAGCTTAACAATTCAGTGATGGTCTTTTTTTTTTTTTTTTTTTTTTTTTTTTACCAACGGCACAAAATCTGCTGAAAATTTGGACTGAACTCTGATGCAAAAACTTCTCAAAAACATGCTCAAATTATTTGTTCCTGATGCTTAAGAGCTGGAAGACTCATTCTCATCAGTACCGCATGTAACCTTCACACCAACTATGATCACTTCCATACTGGTTTTGCCTCATCGCAATCCATTCGTTGTTATAGAAGGACCAGTCCTGCCCTGGCCAATCAGCATACGTGGTGGGGACCACCTCCTCCACCGCACCACAGTCATTAGGTCTGATATAGGGGTCAGCCTTTTGAATGCCTTGAGATTGGTCAAACTGCCCTGAGTACGCATATTGAGCCGGATTCATGGACTGATCCTCAAACATACGGCTGTCTGTGTGTGAGACCACCTCCGTGTGCGTGGGAATGTCCATCTGAGCGAGTAAATCTCCTTCAGGATACTGCTGTGTATTCTCGCAGTGTATTGTGTGTGGGCGCCCCTCAGGATGTGTGTTCATCACATCATCCACACATGTTGACGCACGGCTTTGGCCTTCGATCTCAGGCGCCACTGTGACCGTGTCTCTCAGAGAAGTTCTCTCAATCACGACGGGTCCCTCCAGCAGAGACAGGCTTACCTTAAACACAGGGTTCTTTACTTTGTTAGTGCTCATGACATGCTTAGGATGGCCATTCTTCATTTTTTTGGCCATCTGATGAGTTGGGGGTCCATCAGGAGCTTTAATAGGCCATTTATCAGAAGGGGGCAGCAGAGACTCGGCTGGGCGTTTAAGAGTCTGACTGGAACCTTTAAAAATAGATGAATATGTTATTATCTGCCTGGAATCTTTTTGTTTTGTTTTGTTTTCCAGTATGAATATCTAAGTATGAATAAGTTTCTTGAAAAAATAAATACATTTACTTCAGGAGTAATATTAGATAAAATAATGAAGAAAGGGCACTTACTTTGCAGTTGTGTGCAATATTTATATATTTATTTATCTTTAAGGAATATTTTTCTTCATCTTGTTGGTGTTGGTTAAAACACACACCCATAAATAAGTGACTCTCCTCCCCTTTTTTTAAAGACTTTTCTTGTTTACAAAAAGGTAGCATGTTATTTTAGTTCTCTATTTTTTTTCTTTTTGCTTACCCCAATGGTAAATAATATTTTCATGTATTAAGCATAAACCTCACTAACTGTAGTTAGATTTATGCTTAAATCAATGGAAAATGATTTAGACTGAATATAAAATACATTATATTCTCGGAAATATAGAGATCGATATATTGTCACTGCCGGGTGGAAACCTTGCATCTGTTTTGTCATTTGAATTTTTTTCCCCATAAATCATTAATTATTGGTCGCACTGTGCGTCCGTCTGTGAGTTACGGAAGCCCTGAACCGCAACCAAAAAAAAGAAAGAAAATCTGTTATAAAAAAAAAAAAGAAGGAGAATACAGTCTTCCTCAGAAGCTGCGCGTGTCTTTTTATTGATAATTTTCTCTCCTCCTCCTCTTGCCCACAGGCATTCATAATGGCCATAATTCATAATTTGTGTGTATTTTGTTTCATCAAAGGAAATTCAACAGGTGCCAATCTACCAGCATTAGACTACCATTATACGACATTTTAAAATATACTGCGCTGTTTAGACTTTAGCCTATAGAAAAACCAACATGGAAAACACTTTCCAGACTGGATGGAGAAATCCAGCTTTATAAATGAATGAATGAATGGGGCATTTATGTAGCCCTTTCATGTCTACTAGGCCTACACTCAAAGCGCTTTACGATCATATAAGAGAATCTCTACTCAACCACCATCAGTGGTTATTAAATCTAAGGAAATCACAGGATCCGCCCAAATGATTGAATGATGCAGTTAAAATGTATCTAGAGCATATTTACGATGAAGATGGATACAGAACGGTTACTGTTGTATTCGACCCAGATAGTGACCCAGACAAGACGAGCATGAAAACACCTCAGAAACTCTGCCACTAGAACGTGACGTGTGTAGAATTTTGTTGAAAACCCAGATAAAAGTAAAAAGCTACTATTTTGTGTTAATCCATGGCAGTTCGACTTCACAAGTGCATTTCTTTACACAAACACGCGCATGCGCTCTGAGCCAGTGTGGACGTGCACTGTTAAGAATGCACACACTTCTATGGAAGACTTCTATGGAATCTCGAAACATTTCGACTTTAATCTCGAAACGCTAGATTTTTTTTTTTTTTCATTACTTTTTTATGTTGGGTTTCAGGGCTTCCTTAGTGAGTTTAGCAAATATTTAACTAATGAAAAGTATTAAAAAGAGCTTGCCGCTAAACCTTGTAACTCTATTGGATCTTCAAACTGTCAATCAAACCACGTAACTCCACCTACCTCTTTCATGAATGAAGAGCCAGACACATTTTGGGGAGTTTCTCGTTTGCAATGAGAAGGAGAATAAACAACTGGTTGTTCGAAAAAGTACATTTTCTTTACTTTAGAAACACGATATATATAAAGGCTGATGTTTTATGTATATGAAGAGTGTCTTAGTCTCGCATTTGTCGTCGAGTCACAGCCAATACTGTCTTAATTAGCATTTTATCTTTTATAACATAGTGAAAGAAGAAACTGAGCGACTACACAAGGCATCAATAAACTTTACAACCTGTAAATATAAATGTAAATGTAATGATGGACAAAGAATGCATGTCTGATATTCACAGGTCAAAAACTGGGTAACTTGATTTAGGTATCACACACACACACACACACACACACCTGTGGTTTTGTTAGTTCTATCCTTGAAAGACAGCAGATCTGATCTCCACTCCACACCAGCTCCACAGTTCAACACATTCATACCTTTTTGGTAAAGAAAGGAGAATTTTGGCACTCACTGACAAAGTATAATGTATTTTGCTTTCATTTGCTGTACTTACACCACTGATAATCCTTGAGCAGTACATCGCTTATGAGACATGCGGACAACCTCATCACCTTCAGAACAAGATGAAATTACCAAACAGCTCTACACAATCACATCTAATACCAATAAGGCTATAAAATTCACATTAGTTTATAATATGAACATGGGTAGTACCTTTATTTGTCCTCTTCCGTCCTCTTTCTCAAGCTGAGTAGCAATATCCTCAAGCATCTCATTTGTGTTGCAGTGTTTACGCTTTATAGGCAGGAGCTGAGGGTGGAGAACTTTCTGCCAACATGAAGATATTTGCATGAGCAGGAACTACAAATATGGTGCCAGTATAAAGCATACGGTATTCATACTTTGTAGTCACGTGACAACCATGGATGCCTGGCCGGCAACAAATGGATATTTTCAATGTAGAGTCCTATAGTTCCAGGGGCCTATACCATGAAGCCGGTTTAGGTGGCTGGCCAGCTATGTTTCAGTTTAGTTTGTGCCAACCCTGGGTTTTAGGTACCATGAAAGTGGTTTGGCTTTTAGTAGTGTAAATCGCCATAGTAACTTGCACTTGCCGGCTAACCTGGTCCGGGGCAGGTTATGTTCCAGGTAAGAGGTTGCAAACTGAACTTGGACCAATCAGCTGTGAGCAAAGTGACATGAAGTGATAAAGTCACTCGACAGCAAATGATTTTAAAAGACAAACTCATGGCTTTTATTTGTATAGTAAATAAATTTGTATGAATTTGAAATTATTTCTGTAATTATTATACCCTAAAACGATCTCACATGTACAATTTCAGTTCATTAATTATTATTACGCAGATTTTAAATGAATACATATATAAAAGGTAATATAAATACGCTTTAGAATCAATAAATGAAGCTATAAAATGACTACATGTGAGCTTAAATGTTCAATTCTCTCTATACCTTTATCAACTGTATAAACTAACTTCACAACTTCTACTTGCACTGATATACAGTAGCGAGAATTTCTTTTAGTTGTCCTCTTTCACAAACAGCTATTTTCTTCTTGCTGTGTAAATGTGTTTAAATTATTCATATTTTAATACTTTTATTTAATAAGTGAATTGCGCTACTTCTCCCGCGAGAAAATAATTTCAATGAGTTTTAAATGAGTTTCACTCTTTCTCAGCATGTGATTGGCTGTTCGCTACTGATGTCACACCTAAACACCTAAACTCAGGATCAAAGCCTGGGTTGACAGAGAAAGTTGATGATCAGCATCATGGTACCAACAAAGCCTGGTTGGATTGGTTTGGTTTTGTCAACTCAAAACTAATCCTGCAAGTCTGTTAGCAAGCTAGCTGCATAACTATGGACTAAGATTAACTCCAAGGTGAAGGTAGTTAAATTGTGTAAAGCAGACACGTTTTTTTTAGATAATCGAGCAGTAATACTTCCTCTGTAAATAATCTAGCTCTACTGTTCTCATTGACAACCATAGATATCACAAAACTCAAAAAAAAAAAACTTTTGTTGTTGTTAGCAAAATATGACAACTGCGTTTACACCGCCACCGGCGAGAGCGTCAAAGTGCCCAGAAGTCATTCATTTTTCAATGAATTTTTTGCTGCTCTTGCGGCGGTGGTGTGAACGTACAGTTAGCATCATAACACAAACAGTGGACTCGCTGGTGGCGTTGATTGACGAAACAACAGGGTAACTTAAAGACACGATTAATTACATGATCATACACCCATTGTTTTCAAACAAATGCTGAAATGACCTTGCGTGATGGAATGATTACTGCAAAGACGTGTAACGTTATACTGTGAAGGTTGCTTATCTCATGTGATTACTGCAACCAATCGCACAACAACTATCTGGCGTGTCGCGACAGGTAGGACTAATTTACGGCAGTACCATATGATTGAGTGCGACACTGTCTAAAAACAAGAAGTAAAAAATACGATGTTTTCTTTCTTTGGCTTTCGGGTTTTAGCCGTTATTATAAGATTAGAATTGTAATGACTATTATAACTGCATGTAATCATATGGATGCTGATATTATGCATGGAATAATTGAGGTAAAAATATCCAAAAAATGAGCTACACACATCAAAAGAATGAGAAGAAATAAGTGCAATGATGTCATTAAAAAACTGGCAAGTTATAGTGCTGCCGAGATATAACCTAAATTAGCATGCTAAATTATTAGCCCCGGCCCGGCAGGTGTCGTAATACCAGTTTCGGCCATGGGAGGCGGTATGCGGGCGGGCAACGTTACCACCAGCCAAACTGCAGTACACGAGTGAGTCGCGCTCGCGCCGGCTTGTGTGTACTTGAACCTGATGTCATGTCGTGATGTCGTGTGGAAATACAGCCCGCTACTAAATTTCAGTTCAGGGATGAGTTAAATAAATGATTGGTCGATATTATGCATGAGGAATACATTTTGGTAAGTTGTAACATATCTTTCAACAGTGTTCGTGTTCTTTTACCATTAGCTAGTAGAGATGATCGGTTCACATGCGCCAGGGATCTGTCGTCTAACATTTGCAAGCGCCAAAACTGCATTTATTGTTTGAATTGCGTAATAAAATGAACAGAATCTGAGAGCTGAGATCGGTCTCTGTGTCCTTTTCTGTGCATGACAAAATGGATGTGGCGTGAGAGTGTGTGAAAAGTTGTGTGTCTCACGGTGAATTTGTGAGAGTTGGCAGCTCTGAAAGGTGCTAGCTTGGTCCACATCAGGGAATGCTGTCTGTCAAATTAATTCAAACTAATGATAAAAATGTAACATGAACAAAACGAATACCATAAACTAAAAATGCCTGGGCTTTAATTTTCCCATATCGCCGAAATGCACCGGCTTGTCTATGAGACGGCCTTCATAATTTAGTATTGAGATGTTGTTCATTTAGTCTCTAATCTCTGAAAATCTCCAAATGATCCACGTGAAACTGCGGTCTTCCAACCTTTTACTATTAGTTTTACTGATTAATGTGCGCGAGGGAGACCCGCTCGCCCGTGTTGTTTGAAGACATGAGTGCACGCGGCCGCGGAGGTATTTTTCTGGAGGTATACTGCCGCCATCTGGTATGGAATGTGGTGTATGATTTGATTTTTTATCCCAGAGGGCACCTTTAATGAATAAAGAGAAAATGAATAATTTAACTATCAATATTGTATTATATTGTACAGGTATGTTGTAATGTAATAATACACTAACACTAATCCAAATAAATTATGAATTTTTTTTTAACAAAACTGAATTTAAGGAATAAACCATGTTTTAATTATAACAGTGAAGCTCATTGTGCAGCATGTTATTTTACAAAAAAGTTTATGATAAATGATAAAATTTGTGTTTTATGGCTTCATTTTATTACCAACAAAAACACAACACAAAATTAGTGTAGAATTTTTTCATAAATATATATATTTTTTCTTAAATGTTCATGATACATGATCTCAATTCCCATGCTTTTTGATTGCTAAAAAATTACATGCCCGCTCCGCAACACTAGCACTAGCAAACCCGGAAGAAAACTCAAGACTACCATGGAGGCGTTTCAGGGAGTTCGGAAACACCGACACTGAGATAGAGATTAACTCCCGATGGAGGAACATAATAGTACTCCTTTAAGTTTCACAAGTTAAAGAAAGCACAAAACACACTTACTAGGTAGTTTCGCCGGTGGTCAAAGCTAGTCAAGTGGCGGAATATGTTCTTCTTATTCAGCTTCAAAGCACACAGCTGACACAGGTAACAGCATGGAGGTGGATACCCGTCCACACTCTGGCACTTGATAACAGCTTGTAGACCTGTGACAAACATGCTCACACACAGTTTAGTGCAGTGAATTTGAATCAAGGCACCATCTTTTGTACGTGACTACTGCAGTGCTCAAGGGTGTTCATTCTTAATTCCATCTGGGGTGTACTGAGATCGCACAACGCTGCACTCACCGACAAGAGGCTTTCGACCCTTGTAGTTTTCTAGAAAATCCTCAAGGGACTCAACTTTGGGATCAGAAGAGCTTTGGGTCTGAGCAAGAGGGGACTGGGCAATAGGGTTTTGTGAGAACAGAAAGACATCCCCTTCTTCAAAGTTGTCTGATTGAGCATCCACTGTAAATATAAATGAGAATTAGAGAAAATAAGTAAAGTTAAATATATTGATAGAGTCAAACATATGCTCAATAAGAATGTGGACAACATTAATCATATTCAACTAAAGAAATCAGAACAGCACAATTAATATATGGTTGTGTAACTTATACATTCATAATTACACTTTTCCATTGGGAAAACCATGGGATTAAATGAAAGTATATTTGATAATTAAGTTACACAATTATTGTAGCTGTGGGTTACAAGTCTCTTTTGCTCACCAAGCCTGAATTTATTGGATAAAAACATTTTTTTGAATCATTACAATTTAAAATAACCGTTTCAATTTCTACTATAATATATTTTAAAATGTAATTTATTCCTGTGATCAAAGCGGAATTTCCAGTATCATAACTCCAGTCTTCTCTTCAGTGTCACATGATCCTTCAGAAATCATTCTAATATGCTGATTTGCTGTTCACATTTCTCATTACTATCAATGTTGAAAACAGTTTTAATATTTTTGTGGAAAAGACGATGCAAACCAAGAAAGGTCAGCATTTATTTGAATCAGAAATCTTTTGCAACATTATAAATGACTGTTTAATTAATACGAGTAAAGAAATCTAAATACCGTAATGAGAGTAAAAAAAAAAAAGAAAAAGTACAGTACCACATGCTACCCGGTTGACGATTGGTTTCTTTGGATTCGCCTCATGCTTCCACGGATTTGAATCGTGCGTTGCAGCCGGTTCCAATGCTTTTGTTAGCGTCTGGGCTCTGACGAGATTGATAACACTGGTAATCGGCACATTCCTGGCAGGCTCTGGACTATCAGATGAGCTTTCATTTATGAAAAATCTATGCCTGCTTGTTAGACTCTGGGTTATCTCTGGTACCATGTTGCTCTGGTATGCTGGTGTTTGCCACTGGGCTTCATATGGCGGGGTTTGGGCCAGATGCAGAGGATGTGTTTCATAGCTGACTCCAAATGAATGCATGACATTATTCCCATGTTCTTCACTAGCATGCAAAGTGTCATTCTGGAAAGCAAATCTAATGGGGCTCCACTGTCTTGGTGGTCTTACGACAGCGATTGTCCTCGTTTCAGTTAGACAGTAGTTTTCAGATGGCATCACATATTGTTGTAGACTCTGATTTCTGTCTGCGATCAGAGGTTGATCCTGATTTATGTGTTGGCTGAAGGCTGGAGATTGGGCGCTTTCTAGACAAGATATTGTAGATGAAAAATGAGAATCCACAAGACTCTGATGTGTAGATGCCTCCTGGCATCCGAGTAATGGTTTGACAGGACCTGCGGTTCTAGGTGGCGATGCGTTTGATGTTGGATTGGTTGAGACTGTTTGAGGTTCAATCATATTTGGTGTTGTAGATACAGATTGTGTTGGAAACGAACATCCTGAAGTTAGAAGTTGTGCAGTCCCATCTGTGTATCCAGACTCTCGCTGCCCTTGTAGATACATTAAAATATACCAAACATATTTCAATATCTAATTACTACAGTATATTAGAAGAACAAATTTAAGTAAGGGTGTCCATTGTCAGGTATTAAAGGAGTAGTTCACTTTAAAAAAAAACTTTTGCTAATAATTTACTCACCCCCATGTCATCCAAGATGTCCATGTCTTTCTTTCTTCAGTCGAAAATAAATAAAGGTTTTTGATGAAAACATTACAGGATTTTTCTCCATAAAATGGACTTCAATGGGGTCCAAACAGTTCAAGGTCCAAATGAGAGTTTCAGTGCAGCTTCAAAGGGCTTTAAACGACACTAGACGACGAATAAGGGTCTTACCTAGCAAAACGATCGGTAATTTCAGAAATAAATAATACATTTCCTGTAATGTCCTGTAATAAGCACAAATGCTCGCCTTGCTCTGTTCTTTCTGTGATGTGAGTTCGTGACTCTCCTGTTCAAACTCGTTCCTTAAAATGAACAAACATTTTTTCGAGTCATTTGGTTCATTCAACGAACGAAAAGAATGAAATGACGGTCATTTGGACCTTGAAACTTTTGTTGCCCAATGAAGTCCATTATATGGAGAAAAATCCTGGAATGCTTTCATCAAAAACCTTAATTTCTTTTCGACTGAAGAAAGAAAGACATGGACATCTTGAATGACATGGGGGTGAGTAAATTATCAGCAAAAGTTTTTTTTTTAAGTGAACTACTCCTTTAATGGACGACGACGAGGCGTGAAGTCCATTAATACCCAGACAACGGACACCTCGAAGGGCATTAACCCGCTTCTACCATGGTCACTTGCCGAAAAACACATTTTTAAAACATTAGATTATATTTGTATTAGTTTTACAGCCAGAATGTTAACGTGTAACGTGTTCTTTCATGTAAGTTAGACTTGTCTAGCCATAGGCATTACACTTTCGTTTTTTTAACCTATAATTAAAACACACAGGCAGGCATAGTATAACGGCTAAATAGATGTTTGTTTTGATAAAATAAATAGCCTCTATGCACGAACCCTGCTGACATGTGTCCGAAAGAATCTCAGTCAGCGTCTTTACTTCCGGAAGCGCGTTCTGCAGGCCAAGTGTATAGAGGCAAAACTTTAATAAAATCCGTTTTCTCAGAAACGGAGACAACGATTTTAGAAACGCTGATTCGCTAGTCGAATTTCGTACGATATGAGTTGTTGATGAAGCTCGAAATATATAATTTAAATAACTTCTCTTTTTTACTTTTGTGTGACAGCTAACTGCCTCACAGTTTTTATAAACAGCAAGTATAATTTGACACTATCTCCACCTAAAGCAAAACCGTCTTCTGACCATAGACTGACGCAGCACCGGATGTAACTGGGCGTGCTGAGACAAACCCGGAAGCGATCGTGCATAGAGGCTGTTGTAAACGGATACTTTGACTGCCTGTTGCTATGGTTACTCACAGCTGATGTAGCCAGCGCATTCATTTATTAATTTTGAACGGTAAACAGTCAGTTTCACAAGAACTCCTTTACTAGGTGTCCTCTATAACTTTGTAATGGACACCCTGCAGCCAATCAGAATCGAGTATTCACCCAGACCATGGTTTAAGTCATATTAAACACATTACAGTATGCATACCTTCAGAAGGGCAGTTTCGCTGATTCTTAATTGTCGTCATCTGAGCAAAAGCTAAGAAAATTGAGGAAAGAGTTATGAGGGTTAATATAGGAAGACATGTCAAAAATACCCTTTAGAGTCCAGAGAAACAATATATAAGTGTTTTTTAATTGCAGCCATTTTAAGTGTTGAATGAAGGCGAATTGGAGAAATAAGATAAGACATAAAAGACAGACCATCAGTGACAGGCAATGATGTCATCATGTTGTAGATTACTTCATCCACACACAAAACCTTATGAGAAAATGGAAGGTTACTGAGGAAGCTAAGCTTTATTTTAATATACAACAAAATTATTTTGATACTTCACAGTTTTATTTTACCTGTACATCACCTGTTCCCTCCCTCTTTTCAACCATTTTTGCGATATCCATGAGAGGCCGAGCCAGAAGACTCAGGTCTGTGTAAGCTCTCCACCCACATGCATGGTGATATTTCTGTTAAGGAAATTTCCCCAAAAAACAATTACATAAGAAAACAATCAATGACTACTTGAAGCAAATACAAAAATCAAACAGGCCTATCTCGATCATGGATAAATCATGGTTATTTGAAACAATCCCAAAAATTTGTGATAACCACATTAATTGTGCAGTTTACATTTTAATCACATTTTGCCAAAGAAAAAAAAAAATATATATATATATATATATATATAAGCAATGAAAGTAAATTGATAATATATCATGAAATCATATATTTTCATATTTCCTTATGAAAATATGAATATCTATAATATATAAAAGAAACTTAACGCCCTTAAAGGGACACAGTTGAGGAAAATAATAATAACAAAAAAACAAAATATGAAATGGGAGGGGAAAAAAAGTCTAATAACTTTTAATAATAACTTTTGCGTTCGCTGAGAAACTTTGCGTTCGCTCGCAAAAGCGTTGACTTATTATTTTTCCACCCATTTCATATTTTATTTTTCACCATGTCCCTTTAATAGCAACTCTGTTAGAACGTGTCATCTCAAGTTAAAGACCTTTAAAATATAAAAATATCAATATCTTACAATGTAATTGTATCTGTGAATGCTGCCCATGATGTGGTTTCTGATGTCAGGCTTGGTTATTCTCAAAAAGCAGACATCACAAAAGTACAGTGCAGGCTGACAGTGCGTCAACACCTCAGTGATGGAGTTCAGACCTGAAACATCCAAACAGGTTCAAATGAACACATATAAAGCAGATTTCAGGTGTTTTCTTAACTAAGGGTGAGGGTGTGTACACATTTGTAGTTCATTTTGCTTGGTTAGTTTGGTCAGGACCAAAAATCTGCATTTTTTTTAACAGATACCGAATCTAAGCACAGAGATATGTTCAAAACCTGATTGGTTGACTTTTACGGTACAAGTTAAACTCGAAAAATTACAACATTGTGCAAAAGTTCATTTATTTCAGTAATACAACTGAAAATGTGAAACTAATATATTATATAGACTCATATAGATATTTCAAGCCTTTATTTGTAATACTTTTGATGATTATGGCTTACAGCTTATGAAAAACCCAAAGAATTTTGTGAAAAGGTTTTCATAAGCTTTGAGCCATAATCATCAAAATTATAACAAATAAAGATTTAAAATATCTCACTTTGCATGTAATGAGTCTATACAATATATTAGTTTCACCATTTAAGTTGATTTACTGAAATAAATGAACTTTTGCACGATATTCTAATTTTTCGAGTTTCACCTGTATGTTTCAAAATGGAATTTACCGAACATCTAAAACGATGCCATACTTACAGTTATAATCAAACTAAACATGCCAAGTGTGAACACACTCCAAATCGTTTAAGATGTTGTAATGTCTCTCACCAATGATGGGCTGTTCTCTGTTCTGATTGTGCAGATATGAACGTATGGCATTATACAGTTGGCTCTGGCACCCTGGAACACAATTGCCAACAATTACGGCAACTGGGGCATAATTATAATACAATACAATATAACATAATAGCAGAAGTGTGAAAGAACCAGTGACATTACAAACCTGCCGAGCTGCTGGAAGACAACATAACTGGGCTGCAGTGAAGAAAACAAACGAAAATACCAAGAAACAACATGAAGAAAACGACAAAACAGAGTAAACTTGCAAGCTATCCACAAGCGCATTCAGAAAAGCATACTAACATCATAGTCTTACCTTTTCTGCAGTGTACAATGTGAGTATACTATGTAAAGTATGCCAATTATGTTTATCTTTGATCACTTGTGCTGTTTTACAAACTATTTTAACAAACGTTAACTTACGTCGTACGCAGTAAGTTAATATGACGTGTGCTGCCGTTGTTTAAAAAAAAATCAACGGATTCTCACTAAACCGTAAGCCGAAGATATTGATAATACAAGATATGAATTTGTTGGCGAACTAACATGTCAATAATTGCAACCTATCGTTGGTTGTTCTACTCCAATCATAACAATTACAACGTTTAGTTGATTAATAAAGAGAAAACGTCTATAAACTCGACATGACGGCAAACTGCCTACAAGCAATCGATGCGTTATGAGAATGGAAACATCACGTAAGTTAACGTAACAGTCTGAACGTACCGCTACCACAAAAACACGTGCGGTTAGCTTGATTATAATCCAATACAACTCTGAACTCTGCAAACAAAAAACAGATATGAAGTGGTTTATCAGCTGGTTGATGATAATCCGCGTGCCTAACGTTACCTGTAACTTTATTCTTCTGTGAGGTAAATGCACGCGCGCATGCTGAGAAGTTTGGAGGTGTGCTAGAATCGTGAATATTCATTAACACGTCAGCACTACTTCGTGTATATTCATGCTCGCGAATCTTGTTTCCTGTGGTGAAACTACGAATGAAGAAACAAAACTCTTCTAGACAAACTTTAAAGACCTGAAAAAGAATTAAAATGTTATCACACGGATGGACACAGTTGCACAATTTGCATTCATCGTTGTTGTTTTTTTAAATAATGTTGGGAATTGTATAGATTTTAAACACGTACACTACAGATACATGCACACACTCAAGAAGGAACACAAAACGCAAGGCTCGCAAAGGAAGGAAAAATGCACACGCATGGCGGAACCTGAAGTCGCATGACTTATCGTGACACAAGTTTATTCTCACATAGTTCAGTTGGGAAAAAAAATAACAGATTGCTTAAGGAACAATGTACCCCAGTTCCGTATAAATATGACTGCTTTTCAAAGTTAAGTCGTTGCATCCTTGATTGAGATTTTTGTGTGCATCACTGAAGGTAATTACTCTTCAGTCCAGTTTACTGGAAAAGTTTTTGATTTAATTGCTCTGCTGTAGGATTTTAACTTGATATGCTCTGAACAAGACCAAGTTAATTTTTCATCCATTGCTTGAACTGTGTACAACAAGGTATATAGCCTTTGTAATTGTTCCACTTATACAGGACTGCCCTGTTAAGTTTGGACATACTGAAGTATTATAATCTGTAACCTTTTATTATTTTGCTACAAATATAAATCATTGAGTAACCAGTTCTTTTATCTTTTGTATAAATACATTTTTATTTTATAGAGACAAAAAGTGGTACAGTTTACAAAAACAGTACTATAAGCAATAATAAGAGCATTAAAATAATTCTTGCACGATCAAGCCATGGAATCTTCTAGGAGGGTGAATTTGAATTGGATTAATGGTTGTTAATGATAAGTTATTGTTTCATATGAGTGCAGGGATACACCTAGATTTACTTGTATAGGTTAAATGAGCTAGAGAGGATGTTTAATCCAGAAATTCTGACCTGACAGCAAAAGGCCTGGGCTACTTTGATACCAGGGTCTCTTCAGGACCTGAGGTAATACCAGATCTCACCACAATAATCAACACATATGTACACTTGGTAGGCTATATATTTAAATATGCAAGTTTTTATTTCTAATTCTTTGCATCGTATGCATTGTCCTTAGATTCAATTAATAGTTGTAGCCTGCTTATTTAGTGTAGTGTGTAATGTGATCTCCTTCCCAAGGCCGAGGAAATGATAAACTATCCATTCCAAAATGTCTGTGTTGTCTCTCTGAAGGCCGGTGTTAGGATAAATATAATATGTTGCATCTCCTTTTCTGTCTATCTAATCATTTCTTGTACACCCTGTTTAGAGAATTGTTTGTCTCTGTTATGGAAATTTTGTACCTGAATCGATTCAAACAACAATTAAAGAACAAATGAATATCTCGAAGTCATAAGAGTTTTATTTCTTATAAGAAAGGCAGTTCACACACAGACAGAGTCTGACATGAGAAGCGCAAAGGTCCTCCCATGTCACACAGTTTATAAAACTGTACACCTCCCCCTATTATCTCCACACAACATCTTGTACATGTTCCTCTCACTCTAAAAAATGCTGGGTTGTTTTAACCCAATTTTGGGTAAAATATGGACAAACCCAGCCATTGGGTTAAAAATGAAATTTAAAAATGTAACCCAATGGCTGGGTTTGTCCATACGTTACCCAAAATTGGGTTGAAACAACCCGGCATTTCTTAGACTTTTGTACCCACATATGATATGACCCCTTGACAGCCTGACACCCCTTCTTAATTTACTCAAAGTAACAACACATATGTCATTTCTTAAAGACATCTTCTTCCTGAATAACATGTTTCTGCTCTTGGTGCAAGCAAGCTTATCTATTTTTGAGAATGTTCAAACTGTTCTTAACATCCTTTTTTCTGTTCACGTCCCACTTGCATATGAGGTAATGCATCTTGCAGTTTTTCTTTTTCACACTCTACCTTTGAATGAATTCACATTTATATAAAATAAGGTCACATCTATGTTTAAAGAACACATCTATATAAGATCATCTATGTTGTAAATACACATCTATCTAAAATATAAACACGTCTACGTTTAAATGTTTAATAAAGCACACAAGCAGATATATTATATATATATATATATATATATATATATATATATATATATATATATATATATATATATATATATATATATATATTAGGGCTGGGCAACGATTAATCGCATCCAAAATAAAAGTGTTTACATAATATATATATATATATATATATATATATATATATATATATATATATATATATATATATATATTTATATATATATATATATGTGTGTGTGTGTGTGTGTTGTATATAAAAATTTACACACGTGCATGTATATATTTAAGAAAAATGTGTTATTATTATATAAAATATAAATTTTTATATTTAATATAAATTGTGTATAAATATATATACAGTATATACATGCAAATATTTCATTTTATTTTGAATATATACATGCATGTGTGTGTATTTATATATGCAAAATAATTATACACACTACACACACATATATTATGTAAACACACTTTTATTTTTATTTACTTTTATTTAAAATGTTATTTTGGATTCGATTAATCGTGATTATATACCTAATATATATATATATATATATATATATATATATATATATATATATATATATATATATATATATGTTTAAAAAAGAATTTCCATCACATCTCTAATGCACTCTTTCAGTCTCCATTCTTTCTGGACTTGTTATTTTATTTGTTGGTTTCAGCCTATGCTCTACTTGCTATATAAACTATGACACAAGCACAATAAAGCAGACTACTGAATGAATGAACTATACTGTGTCATTCTTTATTCCCCGATGGTGGAGTTTTACTCTGCTCTGCATTGATCATTGACTTCGTTCTGATATCCAATTTTATCTAATATATATAAATATGCAAGATATTTATTTCTAATCCTTTGCATCTTATGCATTGTCTTTAGATTTCAGATTTTAGGAATGAATAGTTTTACTTATTTAGTGTGATTTGTAATGTGATCTCCTTCCACTTCAAGGCTGAGGAAGTGATAAACTATCCACAAATTCTGTGTTGTCTCTCTGAAGCCCAGAGCGACCTTGTCAGCCTTGGCAGTGGATTAGAGAAAAGAATTACTGCTACTTTAATAACCAGTTAAAGAATCTCCTAAATGAGCATTTATTTAATCTGTCTCAGAGGCCCGTACCACTTCCCTCTTTATCTATTCTTAAGATATATGTTTCCAGGCATCATGCTTGAACTGGAATGCAGGTCGCTGACACACAGATATTACCGGTAACAAGCAGATGATACAACTCACTTGTGAGCTACCAAATTATATTTATTATATAGTCTATAGTTAATCACAGTCTTCTTAAGTGCATTTATTCATGCCATGTTTTATTTGAGAGGCAACCTCAGGGTGACCCGACAGAGGAATGCTTTTAACCCCTGTATGCAAATATGTCTGGGGTCATGCACTGAAAACAAAAACAAAAAAAAAGATTTTCTTACTCAGTATTTTTGTCTTTTTTTCCAGTACAAATATCGAAACTTTCTTAAATCAAGAAACGTTTACTTAAGACTTGTTTTCTGAGAAAAATAATTGAAATTGAGTGAGTTTATACCTGAAATAATGAGAAAAAACTGCCAGTTGGTTCAGAAAACTGAAATCAATGGGGAAAACATTTTTCCTGCATTCTTAGCTACTCCTTCAGGTTTATATGCTTGATTTATTGCTTCATGCTACATTAATGAGGAGAATGTTTTGTTGTAAACAACTTTTTAAAGGTTGTTTACTGTCATATCTCAGTTTTGATTCACTTAGCTGGTGGAGGTCTGTCCTGATGACAGTCAACCCTGAATAAGAAAGAAACTATGTTTGTTATAACAGTGAACAGTTAAAAAAAAAAAAAAAACCTTGGATTTTTTTTTTAACCCAACGTTGGGTTACACTTTGAGTCACTATGTTGAGTTATTTTCCAAAAAAAATATTGGGTCATTATGAAAATCGTTTTCTAAAAATTTCTAGTAACAACCCAGGGAACGTTTTGGAACGTTTCCCAGAACGTTCCTATAACTTTCCCCTAAGGTTCAACATTCTCCAAACGTTATAAAAATGGAACCTAAAAATAACCTACATGGAACGTTCCGATAACGTTCTTGTTTGGTTCCCAAAAAAATTACGTTTGAACAATACAATGTTGAAACGAAATAAGTAAAAAAAAAAATCTGACTTTCAGTCTGGCACATCTATAATAATCTTTGTGAAGAGACCAGGGCCTTTTAGATGAGAGCAAGAAGATAGACAGGAAACCTACATCCATTTTCAAACTTACATCCTCACAAACCTGTGTTTATGCCAGATAAGAAAAGGTCCAATATAGACTTATCCATTGGTGTAACAGCTAGGTCAGTGTGACCGGTCGAATGCTACAGCTGCTTAGATAGAGAAAAAATAGATAGACAGACAGGTTTGTGGTTTTGACATTTTCAGAACAAAGACAGCAAAGAGAGCACTCTCAAATACCATATCTTATGTCTTACGAGCACTGCTTCTGGAAAAGTAACCTAGTACCTTGCATCCAATATCTTACAAAAGCACCAGTAAAATACGTATATCTCTTATGTGTGAACATGTGAGTACATCATTCATACAGGCACTGATGTGATTGAGATTGGGGTTTCTGTATGCTATGGTGGGGGAAGCTTTAATCTGCTAATTGGTCCGTTTGAATTACTCATATATTTGTTGTTTCAGTCACATGGTCAAGGAAAGGATAACAGAAGATTGCAACTCTGGCTCTTTTTTCCTCTTCCAGCTTTGTTCCCTGGATCAGACTCGAGACCTCAATGACATTTTTCACTACTTTCTTTCTATTTCTCTCCTTCTTTATCCCTCGGGTATCCACAATGAGCGTGTTTTATTTCAGAGACTACATCTATTTTGAATTAATCCTGAATTAGCTGTAACTGTTATTTTTATATTTTAAGTTTTGATGTTAATTTTTGTTTAATTTTAGTAATTCCTTTATGTGCTTTTGTCATTCCATTTATTTTCTTTTTTGTACGGCTATTTAGGTTCATTTATTTTCAGTTTTAGTTAGTCTTATTTCCAGTTGATAATTTTAGAGACTGAACTTATCATCTTATTTTAGTTTATTTAAAGGCTAACTAATATTTGTATTTTATTTTAGTTGAGTTTAAGTTGAGTTAACAGAAATTATTTAGTTTTAGTTATTGATAATAACTGTCTTGATGAATATTCATTTAAATGAAATGGTCTTATATGCTCTCTCTCACATATCTTGCTATATTTAACCGCACTTATTTCCAATGTTGGTATACATAGCAAAGGACAAATGTGTAATTATTTTATCATAATGCTGATAACGTTTCTTTATTCATTTGGCAATCCTGCAGCCTGAGTCACAAAGGAAACCACTTAAAGAATATGCAAGAGTGTGTGGATTGATTGTGTGTTTAATTTTAAATTTAAGGAAATTGATAATATACCGAAAAGTATAAATATATATATTTCTGTATATTATCAATGTCCTTAAATTTAACGGGACATGTTTACAGTGTACCAACTTCCAGAAAGCACAGCAGACCGTTTTTTTTACCGGTAAAATATATAAAGAATGTTTCAGGCATTACAGAAAAAAAATTACAAAAACTTTTTACTTGAATACTATACTTGAGGGGTTGTAAAATTGAGGTATAGGCTGGTGAAATTTATGTTGAAACTTGATTAAAGAGAAAATAGCTAAAGGACCATTTAAAATATTGTCAAAAACACAACATAAGTTATTTATTGTTAGTGTTTTATTAATAATGCATCCTCCTGTCTCGTTAATAGCCTTACTGGTTTTGGAGGTCAACAAAGAGCAGCTTTAAAGGGACAGTTCACCCAAAACTGAAAATCCTGCCATCATTCACTCACCCTCATGTTGTTCCAAACCCTTATGAGTTTCTTTCTTCTGTCAAATGTTTGATTACCAACATTCTTCAAAATATCTTCTTTTCTGTTCAACAGAGGAAAGAAACTCAAACAGGTGCTTGGGGGACATTCTTCTGAGAAGATTCAGCCACTCTTAACACACCTCACGCCACAGGGAGATCTGATCAAATAATATATAGAACCATCAAAATAATCGGGATTTTAGGATTGTCAGAAGGGGAGAATAGGGTCCAAAATTTGCCCGATTATCTTGTGCTTGTGCAGTTAATAACTGCATTCTACTGACACCTATAGGAGTAATGCTGTATAACATCCCAGAGTCTAATTACTTTATTGCTTCATTATTCATGAAGGAATAACAAACTCAGTGCTACATGAGTCCATAACTAACTACAAAACATAAAATTAAATAAAAAGCAAATAAAAGGGCATGCAATTAATCAAAATATGAAACAGAATAGTTCTACAATTTCTCAAATCAGTGTAACAAACAGAAACGGAGCCAAACCAAAGAGATTGAAATTACGCGAATAATCCTCTAATGTATCTCTCATATCACATCTATATTGTTTTCTTTGCATATTTCTCTCTTATATACACACACACACACACACACACACACACACAACTATAGTTTTTGTCATTCAAGAACTGGTGATAATTTAACCAAAGCAATTAAAAGGTTAATAATGTTTTAGGACCGTCAATAAGAGAAGACAGTGTCTATAGATTTCCTGAAGATGCAACATCTATCTCTTTGAATATCTGCTTCTTATGTTTTGTTTTGTAATTTTTGCTCTCATTCACGACTCCTTTTCTCACTGAGGTGGATCACTGTAAGAGAAGGGGAAAACAGTTAATGGTCTACGGAGTTAATCACGCTGCCCTGTATACACTGCATTAAATAGCCTAGTGAAGGACAACATTTCACTTAACAAATGCATTTTGCTCACATAGTTTCATAGGTGCTGTCTTTTGTTTTGAGGAACCGCATGGCAAAAAATGCCCCAGCTTGCAACACCAACACCAGGATGATTCCCCCGATGAAGCTGGACAGGTCAAATGATGCTTGAGAGAACTCAGGGCTCGTGTTATCTGTGTATGTTATGAAATTGAAGAAAAAATTCAGCAAAATAAAAACATAGACGTGAGCATTTAAACAGAGAAAATGAAATGCCTTGCCTTTGCCTCCAACATCAGCGGACCCATCTGCTGCCAGACAAAACATGCATATCAACACACTCCTCATTTTATAAAACATTCATTTGCAAATGTAGGCAGGTTGTGATTATCAGTGTTTTGCTCACTTTGACACATGCCGGTCTCGTTGTAGACAGAGCAGCCTCCAGAGTCTTCAATGTCAGACATGCATCTTGTGTCATTTCCTGAAAATGAAACACATTTTTTCCACTTTAAGGCAAGCCTCCAAAGAAATACAGTACAGAGGACAACTTCTTCTTTAATAATGGAGGAGAGGCTTCGCTTCACTGAATAACCTGCTTTTGTGGGAAAACAGCTTATCGGTTAATGAATCGACTTGACGCTTCAACATGTTTGCCATTAAAGAGTCGTTTTAGATTGATCTATTTAAGAGTTTATGCAGACAAAAATGCCATTTTATAAGAGAAGTTGTTATTACTTACTATTTTTGATTACATTTACAGCATTTCTCATTCGTTTCCATGGTATCCGCAAACCGTGATTGACTGTCGCACAACTCAGAGAGAAGAAATTCAATGACGCCAAGGCTGTAATGTGATTGGTTATCAAGGTTGGCCGTTACGCTTTGTCATATGGGCAGCACTACCCTTAAACACGTCCTTAAAGGAGTAGTTCACTTTTAAAATAACTTTTGCTGATAATTTACTCACCCCCATGTCACCCAAGATTTCCATGTCATTCCTTCTTCAGTTGAAAAGAATTTAAGGTTTTTGATGAAAACATTCCAGGATTTTTCTCCATATAATAGACTTCAATGGGTAGCAAAAGGTTCAAGGTCCAAAAGACAGTTTCAGTGCAAACTGCAAACTGTTCAAAGGGCTTTAAATGATTCCAGCCAATGAATAAGGGTCTTAACAAGCAAAATGATCCCTCATTTAAAAAAAATAATAATAACAAAGTTTAAGTTTTATGAGCACAAATGCTCGACTTGCTCTGTTCTATGAGGCGCGTTCGTGACTCTCCTGTTCGAATCAAAATGAACAAATCTTTTTTCGTGTCATTTGGTTCATTCAACGAACGGAATTAATGAATTGGCTCGGAAAAAGATTTGTTCATTTTGGAATGTTTCTGAAATGTTTTCATCAAAAACCTTAATTTCTTTTTGACTGAAGAAAAAATTACATGGATATCTTGGGTGACATGGGGGTGAGTAAATTATCAGCAAAAGTTTTTTTTTTAAAGTGAACTAAAGGGATAGTTTTTATTTTTCTTTGTCCTGCTGAACACAAAAGAAGATATTTTGAAGAACCTCTGTAACCAAACCCATTTGATGACCCCATTTACTTTCATAGTAGAATATAGAAAAAAAATACTATGGAAGCCAATGGGCACCATTCTTCAAAATATCTTCTTTTGTTTTCAGCAGAAGAAATTCATACAGGTCTGGAACAACTTAAGGGTGAATAAATTATGACCAAATCTGCATTTTGGGTGAACTATCCCGTTGTGTTTATGTAAAGCTGGGTGTGGGCAGCATGTAAGCTGTATTTTAGATATATGGGTCTAAATGAGAGAGAGACTGTGTTACAGAAACGTTGCCTTGGCAACAGAGCATGAATAGACTAAAAGATGCTACTTCTTGTTGAACATTTTTTCTCTCTCTCTTTATGTCTCCCTTACACTTATTTCCAGCAGGGTGGATAATGGTGTTGAATTATTTACTGAGTCTGATGTCTTTGTGGACGGCAGCTGTAACTGCCTGTGTTTGAATAATTCACCAGGTTGTTCCTGAGCTCGCTCTCTGTGGCTCGGATCGCATGTCCGTCAGTGGGATCCTCTGTATGTATGTGTGCATAAACAACAGAGACATTGCACAGGAGAATACATTCAAACTCATATGCTACATGTGTTCTTTTACCGTCATTACAGCTTTGCCAGACACATCGAGTCAGGTTGAGGGCCGGGTCTCCGCTGATGCAGCCATCACACGAGTTAAACTGAGAACAGTCCCCAATGAGTGAAGCATCTGTCAATCCATCAGGAGATAAAAGATGTAAGCTTATATTCTCACCTGCTCACAAAACACTTCATCTCCTGGTCTCACAGACAAGGCTTAACTAAAAAAATGTATGTTTGTTTTAACTAAAAGCAACTGATCCTAAAATATGTCAGTGCTAATGTTTTGTCTCAAGCTGCACACCAGTAATGTTGTAAGGCATGTTTAAAGCTATTTAAATGTTTTAATCGAACTAAGGCCTATTCCTGGCTTGATCTAAACCCTGTCTGTAAAACCAGGCCCTTATGTTTGAGAGGGAAATCAATTAAGCAAGACAGCAGGACATGGTAATCTAGACAAAATAATCTCTTAATAATTTTAGGTCTTATTCAGCAGAAAACACTCAAATGCAACTTTTTATAAAGGCTTAGTGACTCTAAATTTGAGCAATCTCAAAAACAACAAAGATTAGAGTATTGTTTTAAAGTTATAGTATTCTTAACCTGTTACTAATATATCTTGTTTATAAGCTAAAATCATAATTATAATGATTCAAATAAAAATTGAATCAAAGTTGCAATTGCATGTCATGGCTGAAAGACATCAGACAACAATAATTTAAGTGATCAAAAGATGTTTTGGGGAAAACTATTTTTAAAGTTAAGGTTCATCAGCATACATATAAAAAACTTCTACACTTACCTGATTCTTGTGAATCGGTTATAATAACCTGCGTTAGAAGTACAATCCCACAGAGTGCGACCAACACACACCTCATCCTCAAAAAGTCGACAATGATTCCACCTATAATAATGAATCGGTCTAACTTACAGTCAGACTTACTCAGCTGAACACAGAGCCCAATAAAGCAGATACAAGCTGAAACAAGCCAACAGGTTGAAAGTGAAACACAAAACACAACTTTTCCTCACCCCAGAAAGCCTAAAACTAACAACTTAAAGAATAGGAGTCATAAACGCACACGTGTCTGTCAAGCTAACATCCAGTCCTAAATGTCTGTGTCCTCCAGATGAAAGGTCGTTGTGTGTGTGTGTGTGTGTCTGTTGACGTCATGCACTTTGATTCAGTGGGACTGGAAGGTGTGTAATGTGAGACAGGTAACATGGCAACCAAATGGCAAATGACCATGTCTTGATATCCACACCACTGAAGAAATTTAGCCTTTTCACAAGCAGACTGCAGAAATTTGTCACACTTCTAACAACAGATTCAGGTCCACACTGGTTCTGTCCAGCGCCTTTCTGTCTGTCTATCTCTCCGGTGGCCGAGAAAAGCTTTTGGGATACAGCTGTAATTTATTGCGTAAGGGTAAAAGTCTGCCTATGCCTGTGGCGTATTTATATATTTAATATAACACACAAACACAGACCAAAAGGGAAAAGAAATAAAATATTCATATGTTTCAAAATGCCCAAAATATATTGGGAATGTAGATTTTAACATATATTTTCAATAAGTTTTAGTTACTTAAATGAATTTTTTTAGTATATTTTCATTCTATTTAGGCTATTTATACTGTCCTATACATGTATATATCGGCCAATAAAAGCAATTATTTGTTGGCCATCAGCCGATTGTGTAAAAAGCCGATCAACAGGGCGCGACTACAACACGTGTCAAATAATCCAATATTCACAGTTCATTATTAAAGGGGTCATGAACTGGCTTTTTAAATTGTATTATATTGTTGTCTGAGGTCAATTTATGACATTCGCTTGGTTTTTGCATTCAAAAACATCAAAATGAATAAGTAACAGGCTATTTTGTACCCTAGTTTTGAGCTTAGCTGAAAAACGCACAGTTTTTATGGGCGTCTTGCACTGAAGACTTGGAAGTAAATGCCCACTGCTGTGAGTGGATAACAGTTTTACATATTATAATAAGTTTCAACTCACCCGTCGATGTACTTGGGGGAAATTGTTTTGAAAATGTCCAATGTTGTAAAACGGCAACCGGAATGATTCGCCCACATGTTCGACCCACCCAGAGTCCATGTTGCACCATTCCTGTCAGATCCAATATCCACAAGTTTCCTACGCCCCATGAGGCCTTGCGTCAAAAGTGGGCGCGACTTCCGGTTGGAAGTAAACAAAGCGCAACTTGACATACTTCACACTCGTTCATTCAACAGTTGACAGTCATTCAAGTTATAGCGATCCAAACTAGATAACGATGTGGGAACACAACCTCAACGAAATTCAAAAGGGTGAAATAACAGTTACCCTCCGCAGTAGTTGATTGGGAGTATTATAATAACATTATTAATAATCAATACTCATCAAGGCATGGTGACAGACAGTTGTGCGAGCTGACAAACAATTCAAATAAAAAATACACACTTAGTCATTGTGCTTTGGAGTTTATTCAAAATTATAAATGAATGTGCTGCTTGAATACATTAACTGGCACATTTGGTATTCTGTCAACACAGGCTTTGATCCTGAGTTTAGGTGTAACATCAGTAGCGAACAGCCAATCACATGCTGATAGAGTTTATAGAACATTAAGAATTTAAACAAATGTACACAGGAAGATTCGTCGTCTTTTGGGAGGTGATGGAAACTACAGTCGTTGGCAGGATCAGAGACAGGCTCTGGGAGGATCACTGTGATTTCGTTTTCAGCTTATGTTCAAAACAATCCCGTTTAAGCCACTAAATTAGTTTAGTCCGGTTATACATACAACCGCGAACATGTTGTCCTTGAGCTCCGTAACGACATCTCTCATAAAGATTTGCGTCTTTAAATAGTAAAATAATTCTCCGGAAAAACAGCTAGCCTCTTCGCTAACTAACACACAAAATACCATTGGAATGCTACTTCCGCCGCGTCACCGGAAGTTTCACCCACTTTATTTTTTACAGGAGCGCCCCTCGGAAACTTGTGGATAGACGGCACAATGTTTTACCTCATCAATTGGAACGTCATTAAAAATAAAGTTTATCCATGCAGTCCTATTGGAATCCAGAGGAAGCATATGCAGTGACTGTCTTCTTCCACAACCAGGCACCGCACAATAATTTGTATTGCTCGGCAGCTCGATCCGGTTTGTTATCAGGTAGGCTGCGCCGGATCTATGTTCTTTGTCTATGCATGTAATGCGCGAATCGGTGGGCGGGGCTAAACGTGTTGAAGTAGGCGTTGATCTTCTTCTGCAGGGGGTTGTGTTTTATCCTCTTTTTCGTCATAGTTCCCCACTTTGAAAAAAACGAGTCGTTTGCTGAGCCTGGTGTCAATAAAAGCTTTTATTGGACTAACAAGGACGTTTTCAGTTCTGAAACTTACAGGGTATTCTTATAATATGACGACCTCTTAGATGTCAAAAGTTTGATTTCTCAGTTCATCACCCCTTTGAACTATAAAAAACACTAGCGAGGAGCTTATTTGCTGTTAATTATGTATGTTTGAATACATTTGATAAATAAGTGTAAGTGTGATAAATAAAAGTGTTTAACCTCATATGCAACTGAGTACATACAAACATTTCAGTTTTTATTCGTGTAAAAGTTTTTATTATATATCAGAAAATAGCATTTGAATATAATCGCTATAATATTATAGTAATGTACTAAATGAGAGGGTTCCCCTTTAAAAAAAAATTCCTTTAGAAAATCAAACTATAGCTACAGATGTCCTTCTGAGTAATCAGTTTTTGATATTGATGCGAAATTTTGCATTGTTACTTCTGTATATTTTTTTGCTCCCTGAAGTGCATTTTGTAATATTTTTTGTCATTTGAAAGTTTAAACAAACGGTTTGCTTTTGGTGTATTTTTTAAATGTATTTTAGCCCGAATTTGTATTTTCAAGACAAGCCATCCTCTCCGTCCTCCAGGATGATCATTAAAGTCACAACATCATAAACGGAGCAGAGGAGGTGATGATGTAATGGATGTGTAGGAGCAGGAGGTCATGTTTATGTAGGAGGAAGCAGTCGCCACTATCAGTGCCACATCATTTTACACATCTGGGATCTTTGAAAATCAGGGCAGCATTTGTTTGCTGACCCACTGTTCAGTCAAATATCACTGAGAATCTCCCCATCACTCTATAACTCATGTGTAATAATGTCCTACGACATACAGGCAAATCACCCAAAAATCAGATCACGACATAAAGAGACAGAGAGAGAGAGAGAGAGAGAGTGGGCGTCCTCCTCTAGGGAGAACTAGGTGCAGAGATAAAGCCGCGCATGCGCTCTGCAGATATTAGGTAACTGGAAGAAATTCCGCAGTACACCCCCCCACCACATGCACACACACACACACACACACACACAGACTTCCCGCCGAATCCGAGGACAAGGAGATACAACGCTAGAATGTTAAATAGTGTCTGTTCTCGTATTTATCTCACTGACATAATCACAGAGATGAGCTTCTGCTGTATATTTGCTGGGTGCTGACTGACACATGACTGCATTACCATTAGGCCAATGATATTTTATTGCTAGTTGTATATTGTTACTAAACAGATTTGTACAAGTTTGATAAAGCAAACTCTAAAGGTGCACCCAGATGGAAATCCTGGAAAACTGTGTTTAGGAACATGGAACATGGTGCAGTTGTTAGTCTTGTTGGTGTATTCCAATGTATTTAGGTTGAGTTTTTCAGTGTAACTAGTTTAGCTGGTAATTAGCTGGAGTAAATTTGTAGACTATATTGTGCCAACAAACCATAGGCTACATACTCCCAGTCTAGTCCCAGACTAAAATACACATTTGAGCTGTTTATAGGCTAACTAAGCAACTTGCATTGACACATATGTCAGTGCTATTGTTTTGGATGCACCCCAGAAATGTTTATAAGAATTCCCTAATTGAACTAAGGCCTAACCCTGGCTTAGTCAATGACCATAGCCAACCAATTTATGTTTTAAATAGCACCGTCTAATTTAGACCAGTTAAACCAGCTATCATGTTCCATAACACAGCTGGATGTTTCCCGCAACAGGGTAGTCAATCATAGCATTTCTTAAAAACAGGATAAGAGTGAGTACAGAGTGTTCAGTGTGAACACTCAGAGTGTTCAGTGTGTATCATCCGTCAGCATCTTAAGGAGGTTGATATTAAATTCCTCCAGCTGGTGACCACCGGAAGCACATGCCCTTTTATAGAGAACTGGAGAGTTTCCCCGTATTGTAGCGCGCGCCCACTTGCTTCATTGACATGCAGAGCCACGCGAGCACTGCGACGCCCACGCGCCGAATCTGCCGGGAAGCGCCATAATCTCCTTCATCTGCAGGGAAATTATGTCATAGCTCAGCTGTATAACCTTCAGGCATCCGAATAGTAGCATATTAAAATTAAATGTTAAATTAGGCAGTTGTGTGCGTACGTGCATGCGACATAATACATTTAGCTTAGTCAAGGTTATAGATCATGAACAAATGGGATTTATTTTGTGAAAGCAAAAATCGTGCCACGCACCCCAATAGTGCGGCACACCTGACGTCACAATCAAGTGTTTCAGCACCATGGACAGCAGTGACTCACTCTCACATACACTCACACTCTCTCCATCGGTCAAGCGCATGCAAAACACACCCTTGCTTCATGCATTATGTGTGCTGTGTTAGTCAACTTTGTAATATTTAGAGATTTTTAAAGAAAACCCTGACTGTGTCTTTTGGTTCACGCAAGGGCTGTCTTTAACAAGGCCAATTGATTACTCTCTGTCATCTCTCTCTCCCGCCGTCGCAGTGGGCGGGGTGAAAGAATGCGGTATTTTTATGAATGAAAAAAGCTACAACAGAGGCTGGTGTTCCTGCGAGTCTCCTGATTGGTCTACCGGGGCAGAATCACCCGTCATCATCGTAACTGACGTCATGGGGAATCGGTGAGGGTATAGCTCTCTGCCCACCGGAGCCTAGTGTTATACAGAAGCGCTGGAAACACCGAGTACAGCTGAGCTTTGCCAGAAGAGCCAGATATCTTTTCCACAAGACCTGGATTTTCACCCGTCTCGCCGGATCCCTGTTATTCACTGGTGGCTCGAACTCAGATTTCTGCTGGATGCTGGCGTGAAGAACTGTCCGCTTTGCAATCGTCTTCCGTTCCGTAAGTCTTTTTTTATTCATCTTTATCTACTATGGGAAACATTGTTACATTTTAGTTGACTAGCTGTGTTGTTAGAAAGGCGCTGAATATTGCGAGAATATTGAATGCATTATTGCAGGATTGCATAGGTGCTTGTTGTGTATTTTACATAACCGTGTGTTACACCAATCAGCTTGAAGTTCAAAACGGTGATTCCCATGCGTGCGCACGTGTAACCCGACAGGATTCAGGGGGTATGCTACTTGAAAATATTTCATTTGATTATAAACCTACAAAACATACTGAAATAATGACTCGTGCGTCATGTGAAATACATAAAATGTAACATATATTGGGTATACAGATTACAAAAATTAAGAAGAAAATTTAATATTTTTATTAATATTTATTAATTTGATATAATAGAGCTGACTTTAAAGACAATTATAATTTTAGGGAAATGTACCATGCTGTTCACAAAAAATATTAGGCTACATAAGAGCAAGTTTAATAATAAGAAGAAATGTTTTAAAGCAGCAAATCATCATAATTGAGTGATTTCTGAAGGATCATGTGACACTAAAGACAAAAAAATTCAGTCTGCGTGTCATAGTGAGGTCTTACTCTGTGTGTCTCATACCCCATTCAACCAAAAAAGAACTGGTTTGGAACTGGTGCTGGTTCAACCGTTGGTTCAACTTGCAACCCTTCTCAGAACCTGTTTGTTTTCCCACTGGCTAGAGATCCCAGCGAATGACGATGTTACATCACTGTGTACGTCGCCATATGTCTTAGCTTTCCCCGAAACGCTTGCGACAACTTTAAGCATCACAATTACAATGGCGGACTACATCGTCTTTTGGCAAATGTTTCTCCAAGCTTTGCGATCCTATATTGGGGTGAGACTATCTTGTGTTTTTAGCAATCGGGGTCACAACTTTTCCCGCCGTGTTGTTGGCCACCCCTCCCCCAGCCCCCAACGTAATGGTGACATGGTAAAAGAACAGTTCTCTGTTTCTAGTCCAGCAAAGAGTCGGTGCCGCTTTGGAACCAATTTTCCTGGCCGAGAACCGGTTCTTTGGCTCTCGAAACTCAAAGAATTGGTTCGCGAGTAGGCACCGGCTCCGAACCGAGGCAATAGTGAGGTCAGGGTTGGAGGTTAGGGTTCTCAGTGCATGAGCTCTAGAGCTGAACTGAATATGTGACAGTCTCCCAGCTGTGGGTTGCATGACTAACCCTTCTCTCCCTCCCCCCACAGAAATGGCCCTGAACAACTCTGAATTGGGTTTAGAAGTCATCTTGGCGATGGACCAACTCCTGGAGCTCACCCCGTCCGACGTGACCCCTAGACCCCTGGAGCCACCAGTGATGACCCCATGGGACGTGGCCCTGTGTGTATCAGGAGCTGTGATCTGCTGTGAGAACGCCATCGTCGTGGCCACCATCTTCTCCTCGTCGTCTCTGCGGGCTCCCATGTTCCTGTTAATCTGCAGCCTGGCGTGGGCCGACTTCCTGGCGGGGGCGGGGCTTCTTTTACACTTCCTGTCCCGTCGGTGCGTTTACTCTGAGGCTCTGGAGCTGGGGAGTGTGGGTCTGTTGGTGAGCGCACTCAGTGCGTCAGTCTTCTCTCTGTTGGGAATCACCCTAGACCGGTTCCTCTCGCTGCATCGCGCGCTAACTTACGGATCCCGTCGCACACACGCGCAAACACTCTGCGCTCTGGCCGTCGGCTGGACTTTTGCGGCTCTTCAAGGTGCTCTTCCTGCGTTGGGCTGGAACTGCTTGCATGATGGAGAATCCTGCAGCGTGCTTCGACCTTTGACCCGAGTCCACCTGGCGACTCTATGTGGAGGCTTTCTGCTGACCTTAGCTTTAATGCTGCAGCTGAACGCCCAAATCTGCAGCGTCGTGCTTCGCCACTCGCATCAAATCGCTCTCCAGAGGCACACACTCCCGTCCGCTCGCACACACACGCGCCGTCGGGTTCACACCCTTGTGCTCATCCTCACCACATTCGCCAGCTGCTGGATGCCCTTCGCCTTGTACGGGCTTCTGGCCGACGGGTCGTCACCGGCTCTCTACACTTACGCCACACTGGTTCCGGTCACTGGAAACTCTCTGCTGAACCCTCTGATCTATGCCTACAGGAACACACACATACAGAGAGTGCTGCGACAGGCCTGCTGCTGCTGTCTGCCTAACACACCCAACAAACACACACACACACCCAGTGATGTCTGACACTTCAGAACAATCAAAAACACTTTTAAAAAACAAGATTCTATGGTGCCATTAAAGATTGTGTTCCACATTTTATGTCTGTTCCTGTTTGGGAACGTCACAGTTGCCAAATCACTCCTCACAGTGACCTAATCTTTTCTGCATTATTTTATTTCATTCGAAACGGGTTTATGTAGCAGTGTTGTTTATTTTTGGTTGAGAAAACTGCCACTGTATCCTTTTAGCTAGTTGCCAACTAAAGGGGTGCAAGCAGAAACTCTCCTGTCCGCTTTAACGTCTCAGATTTGTGCCTCATTTTACGTCCTCTGAAGTTCAGAGTTACTGATGGAAAAATCATTTGCACTTTACGACAATGACTTGACTTTTTAGCTGAATTTTAAAATGATTTACCGTTTGTTATTCCGACTGATGTTTTTTATACTTCCTAAATGTCTTGTTTGCACTTACAATGTATTAATGTTGCACAAAATGTATGAGTGAATGTTTTATTGTCGAAATGAGATGTTTTATGGAATATGTTTATAAATAATAAATTGTAACTTTTGTACATTTTCTGTGTTTTTTGCAAGTATTTTTATTATAGAAAAAGTGTGAAAGTTTGTGGTTTTAATTTAATTTAAATATTAATCCAAAGAAATTGGGTATGAATCAGGGTTATAAGCTGACTAAAACCATAAAAAACACATTAAATAATTAAATAAATGTATTTTATTTAAGCTAGTTGCCAAGGTTGCTTTTTTTCCATTTCATTTAGTTTAACTTGATAAAATAAATACAACTGAAATAAAAACTATATATAGAGGGTATGCGCGTGACGTCACCGTCGGCCGGAGTGCCTGCAGTTACTCACAGTGAGTGGCAAAAAGACTGAGCGGCTGTATTTGTTTTCAGCGTGAATGCCGCGAAAAACAAACACAACACATATAAAGTGGGAAAGAGCTTTGCGATTGACTAGATTTGACAAAAAAAAAAAAAAATCGGAGGTATATTTTTACAGACTGCTATGGAAAGAGGAGCAAATGGATCGCTGCAATTCACAGAAACAACTGGACTCCAGTCATCGGACGATATTTGCAAATTTTTATGTTATCGTTATCGGCCCGATGATAAAATTTGGCTGATATGTTGAAGCTGATAAATAATGAATTATTTCCTTCAACACTTGACACCTGAGACGCTTAAGATGCGCATTGTTCAACATGATTGATCTTAATTGCTTGAAATATGATTGGAATCAAAAAGGAAAATATAGTTAAGGGCAAAATGTGCTGTCATATCAGCTACATAAAATTATAATGAGAAGATTACAATCATGTTAGGGGACGGATTTTAAATTGTGAGACTTTTGTTTTTTGCAATCAGGCTTTCAAAAATTATATAAAAATTGGATTTACATTTATCGGCCAATATATCGATTATCGGCTTTCAAATATAAAGAATTATCGGTATCGGCCAAATCGGTGCGTCCCTATTTTGTGTCAATATGCTGAATTTAGTTGTAAAACCATACCCATATATTTTGTATTGTTATATATATTAACAACTCATCGATTAAATATTTATCATTGCATATTCTGCATTATTGGATGTTTCACTGACCAAAAAGAAATGTTTTAGGGCTGGACGATATGCTGATATATATGCTATAAGTTTTATAACATTGATATAAGTGATCACCTGGATTTAAACCTACCTATATTGTATTTATATAAAGCGTTCACAGGAAAATTTGCTTAATGTTTAGGTCTAGAACATTATTGCTTTTATTTCCCCGGTGTCGAAATCAGGCGAACATATATCAGTCAGGCAACACGATTCCTGGCTGCATGTACAATATCCATGGATCACTGGATCTTTAGTAAGTTGTAAGGAACACTAAGTCCAACATTTAGTTTAAATTGATACAATTGTTTGTTTTAGTCGCATTTTCGCAGTTTCCCCTATTAAATCCAGTCACGCAGCAGATCTTTTGCCACTCAGTCAGGCTGAGGGGGGTTGTTCCAGCTACATTACAAAACATTTTTTTGAAAAAAGCTTATGCACTTAAAGGGATACTTCACCCCAAAATTATGTCAGTAATTAGTCGCCCTCATGTTGTTCAACCCCGTAAGACTTTTGTTCATCTTCGGAACACAAATTCAGATATTTATGATTAAATCCGAGAGCTGGATCACTCCGAGTCCTCCATATGGGCTCGAAACTTACCGGCCCAGAAAGTTAGTAAACACAATGTTTAAAATAATCCAAGTGTCTCAACCATTAGTTTATCAAGCGACAAGAATACTTTTTGTATAATACTTCTCTTCCATGTCATTCTCCTAAACTGTTGACTTGGCGTAACGGGGTTGTGCGTCAGAACGTAGGCTCACTGGACTGTTTCTATGCAACATTTCATAAATAAGGCCCATAGAAAATAAGTCTTGTTACCAACTGGACTGTCGCATTCTTGATTTTTCTATGAATTACCAAAACATTCATAAAGCTGTATTGAGCACCTGTGTGTAGATTCAATGTTTCCCCAAATAAAGCAGCACGATCGGCATGTAGTCTGACTCTCTGAAGCCCCTGCACACACAAGTTCAGACATGTAGAAACAGTTCAGCCATGCACACAGAACACTTATGATGAAATGACTGTAACAACAGCAAGACAACATTATATTTTAGATTTTATTTCAATTGTTGATAGAAAATTCTTGTAATTATTACCCACATACATCAAATAAAAAAACTCACTTTTCTTTGATTTCAAAATCTTGTATAATTTCTAAAACTTTGGCATTAAAACAACAGGCATTATGAAGCAGGCACTTGGGCTGAACGGACAAAAAAAACTACATCAGTCAGACCTGAGGGCTGTAAAACCGTACAGACACCGCCGGTGCCATTTAACAAACAGACAACGACTTTTGGTCATGAACATCGGTTTGCGATGGAGTAAAAGGTTATTTCATTCTACAAGGTGCAAGAAATACCATAGACACGCATCTTATTATTTTTAAATATCTGCATTATAAAGTGTGTCTCGTCTTAGTTGTAAGGAAGGCTTTAGTTGATTAGTCTATACAGAGTAATGTTAAATCGTGGGATTTTAACAGAAACGATACTGATGCATAAAGAAGAAAATATAGAAGCACATACACACACACTCGGTTTACCTTCGGCCAAATTATACAGAGGCACAGCCGCTCTGAAATAGGAGAAGGCTTATCAACTAAATAATTCACTCTCTCATTTAGATTAGACTCAACCCTCTTGACAAACACACACACACACACACACGCTTTTTGGCCCACTTCCCCTTATTTGCTTTTGGCCTCACTGCAGGTAAACAGGTAATATGAGAAGTCATAGCACAGGTGATGAAGAGCAGGATGACAGCTTTAGTCAGACCAGTCATCATCATCAAACTCGGATGAATCGTCCTCGGAGTCGCTGCACTCCACGGCAATGCGACGGGACAGGATCGCTGCAACATCGTTATCTGTGCGACCTCTCTTCTCCAGCTCTTGCTGTTCCTCCACTTTACGCAGGTTAAATCCTACACACACACAATTTCATCAAACTCAAGTCACATTTTAAGAAACACTACAATATGTTAAACCACTTAAAGGGATACAACTCCCCCAGAGTTAAACAGTTGAGTTTTACTGTTTTCGAATCCATTCAGCCGATTTTCTGATATTTAGAAGAATATCAGTAACCAGACAGTTTCTGGTCTCATTGACTTCCATAGTATATTTTTTTCCTACTATGGAAGTCAATAAGACCAGAATCTGTCTGGTTACTGATATTCTTCTAAATATCAGAAAATCGGCTGAATGGATCCGAAAACGGTGAAACTCAACTGGTTAACTCTGGGGGAGTGGTAAAATGAGCCTATTTCCAAAAAAAGTGGAGTATCCCTTTAAGGATTGATATATTTCATGTAAGTACAGCATCTCTGATGATGACGGCCTCATTAGAATAAGCAAATAAATGTGTGTTCCTCTATTATGATAATTCAATGAGGAGCCAATCACATGCAATATGATTTGATCATAACACAGCAATGCTATATATACACACACTTTCCTCCATGTTTTGTAAGTAAGGGCTGTCAAATGCTGACAATTAAGCACATTGTTTATGACATGTACATAAACATCAATTTTGGTCTGTAACCGTTGACCTTGAGTAGAATTGATTTAAAAGACTTGCTTCCTCCTGGTGTTAAGTGATTTAACAACCCCAAATAAAGTTCTCAAGTGGACTTTAATGACCTCCAGTGACAAAGATTTAGCTAAACTGAACTAAATTTAAGATAACCTGTTTAAGTTAAAGTTTTACCACTAGAGATCAGATCACCTGAAATAGAAGTGTTCAAACTAATTTGCAGTCAGCATGTTTACATTGCAGTTATAATCTTTTTTATATAGTTGAATTACAGTCATCATCTGTCTATCGAAGTAAACGTGGCACAAAAGCGCATTAAATTATCTAAAGGATAAATGAAATGCCTCCCTTCTGTTTTTTGAGTGTGCACACAATGCCAAGGACAATTAGTTTGATTAATGTGTATACATGCCAGGTGACGACGTGCAACGATTACATCATCTAGGCCTAGTCTGACTTCGCAAAAACAGTAGTGATACAATTTCAAATGCTCAATGAATTCATATGGAAACCAAAACTGTTCACCAAGCTTTCGATAAAATTTCATATTTGAAATTATCAATGAAATCTCACAACAATGGTCTCATAAGAGGCTTTCGCAACCGGATAGTTCTAGGATCTAGCCACCAGGATGGTTCCCATAGGACCGTTTTTGCCCGCATTCTCCATGTTTGTTATTTTACAATCTAATAACAGTCCTGTCTAATACGTTATTAGATCACACATAGAAAGTAGACAGTAATGAAAGGCTATAAGTCGTCTATCATCATATCGTGTGACAGCCCATCTATCACTGATCCACAACTTTTTTTTTAAATGGCGGGTGCTGGTGTTTTGCGTGTGTTCAGCCAATCAGCGTACACTAACGTCCCGGATAGTTCCTATAGTGCTGGTTTAGACCTGGAGTCTGAAGTAGGAGCTAAATTCAGGGAAAAAAATCGATTCTTAGATGCATCGCGATGCGGACGATTCTGAATCGATTCACAAATGTCAAAAAACGATTTTCAAAGAAAAATAAATAAAAATTTCAGACATATATTTATAATAACGTAATATTGACAGAACGCAAAAGACGGAACTCTGAAGCGCAGAAGTGCAGTATCCGGACCGTCTGTGGCGTGCACATAACAGAGACGTGCTGGTGCGCGAGATCCAAACACCCTCGTTAAAAGCTGACGTGTGGAAATATTTTGGCTTCTGAAGTTGAAGGGGGAAAGGAGCTGGACAGTCAAGAGCCACACTAGTTGTAAGCTTTGTAGAATAAAACTAAAATATTTTGGAAACACGACAAATATGAGAAGCCATATGACGCGTTTTCACCCAGAGGTGGAAAAACACTCGGCTGTACCGGTCGTTATATTATTAATTTACTACAAGTATGCTGCAAGTTCAGGCACACATTTCCTGTTGGTTCTTTGCAATGTTAACAAAATATATTGTACGTTAATTCTTTATGGGTCATTACTTTGTACTTTTAAAGCAAAGTATTTATAGTCACACAAACACAGACACACACAAAAAAAGATTCAAAAAGAATCGATTTAGCATCGAATCGCAGCCCTCTGAATCGTAATCGAATCGAATCGTGAGGTGCCTAGAGATTCCCACCCCTACTAGTTTCTGTGGTGCGAACATGCCAAAATCCGGGTACTTCTGCCAATAGTTCTAGGAACAATGAAAAGGTTCCTTTCGGTGCGAAAGCCCCTATAAATTTTGTTCCTACATGCTCGAATTATGACAGAAAACAAGTTTTTTTTTCCATATTGAACATTGCACTTTTCCCAAATCAAAACAATTCGAGGGACGAGTCTCGTGTTATTTGAAGCATAATTTGAATTCTTGTTTAATCTTACTAAATTAAGCTTTTAAAAAGTATGTGAATGTATCTAATTATTTTACCTTGACGGATGGCTGAAAGAAGATCACTGCGAACACCACCCTCGGGGGCAGGAGGCTGGGCTTTGGGAGCGGCGGGAGCATGAACTGTTGCTGAAGAAGGAGGAGCAGGAGCGGAGGGTGGAGGAGGGCCTGGAGGAGGAGGGGGAGGGGGAGGAGGAGGTGGTCCACCCCCAATGGGTGGAGGAGGAGGAGCTGGAATAGAGACTTCTATGGGTGGTGGAGGTGGGATGGAAGCAGAATTGCTAGAGAATGGGGGAGGAGACGGCGGCGAATCGAAACCTAGCGGTGGTGGAGGTGGGATCATGCCACCGGGAGGGGGAGGTGGTGGCGGCGCCAGAGGTGGAGCCACATTTGGACGGCCTGGAGAAGAAGGCATCGTTGGTGGAGCTGGAGGAGGATGACTGGGACTTAAAAGACTGCCACGCTTTGGAGGCGCACCACCAGATTCGTTATACCTAGAAGAGAAGTCAAGTCACCTTCATTTATATAGAGCTTTTTCACAAAATAGATTGTTTCAAAGCAGTTTTATAGTGATAAAAAGAAATCAAAGGTGCACTCACAGTGCTAAGTTCACATACTCATTTCTAAAAAACAAAAAAAAAAAAAAAAAAAACACTTCTACAGCCAGTTATTTCACTTTGAAATGTGCGTTTCCAGGCTGGAATGTTTGTTATTGTTTTGGTCTGCGTCTCTGCGATACTGTACGTTGCCAATAGAGAGCCTAAGTCCCTCCCCTTCCGGTCGACCACCATGGGACCTTATTTCGTAAAAATATTGTATGGTACACATCTGATGTTTGTCAATTTAAAAGATACATTTTAAAGTAAAGAAAGTTGCAGTTTGATGTAAAACCGTTGAGGTATAAGACTGTGAAAATACGTAATTACAAAGACTACAAACCCCAAAGGCGCACATTTTCTCTCAATGAATGAAGCTAACTTTACTGAGGCTAATTTCTGTCATTGTTTCTATAGTCTTACGTTATAATCGTAACGTTGCGCCGTCATACCCGAGTGTTTTGTACCAGACTGCAAACATACGAGCAGCGGATCTCACTCGTTGTTTCGCTTCCCGGGAGATGTAGTTTAATGAGCGATTTTCACATAAAACTAAATGTTACTCTTCTGTTTTATGACAAACTGAGACGTTTTTGACTTTCAGAATTACCTTTTAAATTGACAAACATCATATGTGTAATTCAGGGCACAATTCAGACGGAATAAAAAGATAAGTTGTCTCTCGCCATTGACTACCATTCATATTTTTTCCGAAATAAGGTCCCATGAGCCGGAAGCGAAGCGGCGGGACTTAGGCTCTCTATTTGCCTGGGAGAGAAGTCCAGTCAAGTCACCTTCATTTATGTAGACCTTATGTAGCCCTGCCCCTTTGCAGCACTGCGCTTGTTGTCTTTAATCTTCCACAGCAATCTTACATATTCATAAATGAACTGCCTGTTTTAAAATCTTCCCAGTCTAGTGACATTTGTTAAGACATATGCTTTAAAAATGACAATACTCATGATAACTTTCGTTAACTCTACAATAAGTAAATCCACTTCACTAGCTAATTAATCTTCGACAGCGATGTCGTAGAAATACACAGAGTATATACAGAGAATTGTTTGAAAACAGCTTTAAAGTGCTAATAGGAAATTAAACTAACAGATATTGTTTTGCTTTTACAGCAGCTCTAGAATAAAGTTATTGTCCAGCTGAAGTTAGTTTTGATTGATTAGTTAGAACAAGCTCAGAAATGAACCTGGATTGGATACTCAACAACAGGGAAATCACAGGCTATTTTAAGACACTTACGGCGCGTCTGGAGGTGGTGGTGGGAAGTCCTCCTGCATCGGAGGTGGGAGAGGAGAGCCGGGATCATAGCTGTAGGAGTTTGTGCTTTGGTCCAAATAACCATCAGAGTGATTAAAAGCATCATCACCAGAGCCAATACTGCCGTTCAACCCTTCTATGGAGTTACTGTTAAAGACACGTACATAAAAATAATATTAAATTCACATAGACATCAAGAGTATCCTGTGCATTTTGTTTTTATTACCCCATGGCATCGAGTTTGGGGACAACGAACTCCTCCCCCATTTTCCGGCGTTCCCATTCATCTTTTCGGGTTTTGATTTTTCGCGGGTTAAAGTTCCTTCGGTTAGGGTTGTCGTCTTTCTTCTTCTGCTCTCGGTAAACACAGAAATACAATAACATAAACAAGTTGAAGAATCGTCTGCATTCTTAAAGGTATTTTAAGGTGGTGTCCTTGCATCACTCACCTTGTGCTTTCGTTTCTCTTTCATAATGTCCTTGGTATCTTGAAGCATTTTCTCTTTCCAAAGGTCAAAGAAATATGATGGATCAGTGTAGAACTTCAGAGCCTCCTTACCATCATCCCTGGAAAACAGAAAACACTTTAATCATGTCGAATACTTAAAAAACATGAACTGGTACAATGCCTTTAATTTAGTTGTTTTCATGCTTGAATGTTTAAAAAACACCTATAAAGCCCCTCCTTCTGAAAAGAAAACTATGCTCTGATTGGTCGGTTGGATCAGTGTGATGTGATTGGTCAAGTGCTTTGAGTTTGTTTGGGAAATGTCCTGCGCCTTACCATAACAGCCAGTTTCAACACACTACTAACTCCTTAACCTCTTTATTTTGCATATGCCTTGGACGAGAATTATTTAAATGAAGAATATTGTGACGTGTTCGTTTCCAGAAGAAAACTCAAGACTACAATGGAGTCAGAAACACTGAGTGATATAGAGAACAACTCACGCTGGAGTGACTTTGTGCTTACAACTTTGCAGAGCTTTTTCATGCACAAACAACAACATTACACACTAAAGAAAGTTGAAGATGTAAATAAACATAATAGGTTCTCTTTATTTGGATGGTAAACGGTGGTCAGATGCGGTAAATGTGTTAATGTGTATACCTGTAACAGCTGAGGTTGTTGAGGGGGGGCGGCTCGTTGCAGGTCAGGTAGGTCTCATGGATAGGTTGTGGTAGTGATAACCTAATGAAGAGCTGCTGATCCATGATGGAATTGGAGTGGAAGGCTTTGCGGCTGGTGATTGCCTGAAGAGAAACTGGAACAAGAAAGAAACAATTGGAGAAAGGGAAGCAGGCAAAGAAAGAAAGATAATGACATTTAGAATAAATTAATCACTGTTTGAAAACCACAAACTAAAGGCCCGTTCACACCAAGAAAGACCACTATAAAGGTAACTATAACGATAACTGTATTAGCGCCCAACCACAGCAACAGATGATATCGCTTTATTCTAAGCACACACTGCAATTTCATCATCTGTCACTTTAAATCCTCAAACTCTTTAAAGTCTGGTGGATTCTGATTGGCTGTTATTGTTTTTATTGTGCATCAGCAGAAAAAAAATAATTCTGAAAGTAACTTCAACCACATTGTTTTTTAGACCTTTCTTGTTATCGTTAGTTATATACGGTCCTTGGTGTGGACAGTTCACACTGCACATCGATCCTGTTTTATGACAAGTCATTTTGCAAGAGATACCAGATTTGTGTTGCCATAGTAATGACTGTGATGCCTAGTGATGAAGGGGAGTAGTTGGAAAGATTGGGTGCAAAAACACTAATTAGTGGTGCTTGCCAAAAGGCAAAGCAACACCAGTGTTCTCTTGTATACTTATATTATTCTTATTATTTTGGTCAAAGTTTGGCACGCTACTCCTCCTCCACAGACCCCTTGAGTGAGGTGTCAAATCGACCGGCTCATTGAGTAGAGGTGTGCTATGACTTTTCTAAGAGATCGGTTGTACGATGTTCGTCTGGCGGGCGATAAATTGGCCGAAAACGTCCCATAGCCTTAACTTTGGCACAAAATTTGTTATATCATATCTTTTGACCAGAAGCTCATAGAGACTTGAGGTCGGGCTCTATTAACTCCTATCAAGCAGCCAATAAGTAGTGATATAATAACTTCATAGTCGTGCCCTAGCAACCATTTAGGGCTACCCTAGTAACCATTAAACAACATTTAAGAAATATCTCAACTCCAGAAAATAGTAGAGACATGGAGTTTGGTTTTTTTTACTTAGACTGTCAACTAGTCTTTAAATATTATCTCATAAACTGTATAATCACACCATAGCAACGATATAGGGTACGCTATTAACCACACAAACACATGAATAATCCATATCTCAGCTCCACAATATCGTACAGACATGGATGTTGGCTCGTATACAACCATGTACCACACCCTAGCAACCGAGCAGCGAGTTTTGCCACAGCTCTTGGCATGATGCTTAAGTGCATCATGCCAAGACATCATGTGCATCAGAGGCATTAATTTTCTATTTATACAGAATATCAATGCAATGAATGTATGTGTATGTGCAGCTATAGATACTACTGCCCTTTATGTATAACATTACAGTGATACACTGTAAGGTTATACATACAGTAAACTGATTTGTAAAAATCAAATTTCACACTTTTTTTGTAAGTGTAAAACAACTAAAAATAGATGGATGTGCACAAAAAGTTAAAAATAATCAATAATATCAACAAAATAAAAGTTAAAAGAACTAAACAAAAGATTCAAAAGAGTACAAAAAGGAAAATGAAATAAAAGAACAAAATAATAATATAAAAGAACAAATCAATTCTGTTTTCGGCAACAAACCAACATGGTCCAAAATCTACATATGACTCATTAGCGCCATAACTCAATGAAATGCTTTGAATGTAAGCCAGTCTGTTTCTCACCTTCCTCTTCTTTAGGGTCGAGCTGGGTGACTTTGACCTGCAGCTTGTCCACTCTCTCTCCCAGCGTATTGACCCGATCAGCAAACGAGCTGGCTTGAATAAACAGTTCGCCGAACACATCCTCTGCATACTTACCTATTAAATAACACGTTAAAAGCAGAAACACAAAACTGATTTTCTTCAGTAAACACCCCATTACTCCAACACTTACTAAGTGATCCAAGCTGGCGAATGATGTTTGCAAGAGTGATGTTGGTCACACACTCCAGTTCACTCTTGATTGTATTTGGCAGTGACTGGCGACAGAGGTGCCGTGGCTCGATGTTTCGCGTCACCAAAGGCATGATGGGAGCTTATCAGTCACCTTCCTCTTTTAGACAGAAATACAATTCACACAGTGCATTACAAATTCTGTCATTAGCTGCATCTATAACACATTCCCTTATTACTGCTGCTGTTTTTCTATTCAGATTCTACATACCCAAAACACACACATTCACAGCCTTTTATGTGCTTAAAGCAGAACCAAAACTGCTGCGGTCTTTCTTCTGCAAAGATGCAACTTATAGCCTAATTTCTGCAGTTCAACACCAGCAAGAAACTATCCTTTAACACTTCTTGTCTTTGAGTCTTTTTTCAAGTAGCAATAGTACATGCTACACTAAATTATGAGTTATATACAATACTAAGACATGCTATTAGTAAATACTACACCATTTTTTATATAAAGTTCAGTTATTTGTAATAAAGTTGTTCTTTATAAAAAGTATATTAAAAAAATATGTGTTTCCTCTTACAGGGCACATTTACAGTACCAGTCAAAAGTTTGATAACATTACTATTTTTAATGTTTCAGAAATAAGTCTCTTATGCTCATTAAGCCTGCATTTATTTGATCAAAAATACAGAAAAAACAGTAATATGGTGAAATATTATAACAATTTAAAACAATGGTTTTCTATTTGAATATACTTTAAAATATATTTTATTTCTCTGATGCAAAGCTGAATTTTCAGCTATTACTTCAGTCCTCAGTGTCACATGATCCTTCAGAAACCTCAATGGCAGTGAAGGAACTGGTAAAATAGATTTCCACTGCGAAGGATGATAATGAATACTGATCACTGCTTATTAATGAGAGATATGGTAAGAGGAAACGTCTTCTCTTGATTTAGAAGTTACCTTGATGATATATATCAATTTGTACAAATAAATAATGTTAAATCGGATCTAAAGAATGTCACTTGTGGTGTTCCACAAGGTTCAGTGCTAGGCCCCAAACTGTATAAATTATATTAGTAAAGTGTCTAAAATATTAAAAATAGCTGAAACAGCTTCTGAATACAATGAAAATAAAATTAATAGTCTTAAAAAGTGGTTTGATGATAATAGATTAATTTAACTAAAACAAAGTTCATAATATTTAGTAATCGGCAATGAGTGCATAAAAATAGATTTCTGGGTTTTATAATAGACCATAAAGTATGTATGTAACTTTTGTATCTCGAATTAATCAAATTAATTTTCAAGATAGATTAAGGTAAAGGTAAAGATTAGGCATAATAACAAATGCTTATTATTTTTATTATGAAAAATGCCTGTAATGACCGAAATAATTTGTTGCTGTTTAATTAAGGGGTGAAGATGTCAGACCAGACATCACTTGTTTTGAGAGTGTTAAATATACTTTAAAAATAAGTTTCATTTTTACACATTAATTCCTGACTCCTACCAGAATTGTTTGCCTGAGCGTAAGGGAATAAGTTAAATGTTCACCCAGACTTCCTATATTGGGAGGGAGTGGAGGCTCACAACATACCAGCATAACTTTGTTTGTGAAAAAAAAAAAAAGATAAAATCAAATCAAATCAAGGCTGTTCCCTGGAAACTGATTTCTAGCACAGAAGTAAAAGCTATGGCGATATCAAAAAGACACAGTGTTATTTGTCACGAATGTTTAAAAAGCTTTCTAAAGCTAGTAGCTGAGGCCTAAACTCTCTGAAGCGTCTGTGTTTAACAGGAAGTGATTAGCGTTAGCTCTCTACTGTCAACTCGCCAACTCTTATATATAAGAGCATATAAAGTACTTCACAGTCTTACCTGGATATATGTATAGATTTGGCCTTAGATGCCGACGTCTTCTGGCTTTTCAACTACCTCAGCAGTTCCATTCCCTGAGTTTCATGCCGTCCATAATTTTCTGAGCCGACAAAATGTCTACAAGTACTGTAACAAGATCTGTATGGCAGCGACAGTTCAGTCCCACATTTGGTAACTTTTCATTGGAGCGTGGGTGTGCATCCAAACATTCGATTGGCTGATGAGCCTGTCACTCAAAGAAAAAGGGGCGTATATATAAACTGGAATCTTGAAAGCACAACTTACTCCACCCTAGCGGCTTGAAAACATCTGCTTTGAGGGAGGGTTAATTCCGTAACGTCGGGCCAGTCGGAACAAATCCGAAATATGGCGAAATTCAGAGAAACCCACTTCATGTAATACATTATTTTTTGTTTATCACAGGATTTCATGCTCAAGAAAAAAATACGACTCTGACGACCTTATTTATTGCGTATAGTTTATTTCATAATAAACAATGGACTTGAAAAATATTGCACGTTACCCTTTTGTATGAAAAGGACTTAAAGTGAATGTAATTTGTGTGATAGATTTAATGCTGAGTTGAATCATTGCAGTGCCGTTCACAACCACTAGACGGCGTGCAGACAGAAACAAATAGCACTAATGTCAGCTTTACCTCTTTAAAATGTTATGTTTGTACATCTTAACTTCATTAAACATCCCTGCTTTGGTTTAGACACATTACAGTGCAGGTCAAAATTTGGAATATGGCTATTTTAATGTTTATGTGTCGTGTGATCATAAAGTGATCATCAAGCCTGCATATTTATGTGATCAAAAATTCAGAAAAAAACAGTAATAATGTGATAAATTAATACAATTTAAAATAATGTTTTTCTATTTGAATATACTTTAAAATGTAATTTATTCCTGTGATCAAAGCTGAATTTTTGGCATCATTACTCCAGTCTTTAGTCACATGATCCTTCAGAAATCATTCTTATATGATGATTTATTATCAGTTTTGGAAACAGTTGTGCTGCTAAATATATTTTCAACCTGTGATATTTTTTGAGGATTCTTTGATGAATTAAACGTAAAAAAAAAAAAAAAACAGCATTTATAAAAAAAATTGTAACAATATAAGCCATTATTTCAATTGTCTACCACTGAAAAAAAAATGGGGTCAGTCATTTTCTTTCTGTTCTTTAAAGATATTAATACTTTTATTCAGCAAGGATGTGTTATATTGATAAAAAGTTATAGCCAAGATTTATATTGTTAGAAAAGATTTTAAATAAATGCTATTTTAAAAAGTTTTTCTTCATCAGTCTTCATCATGTTTTCAACACTGATCAAATCAACATATTATTTCTGACGGGTTCATGTGACACTGAAGACTGGAGTAGTTATATTGATATTTTAAAGCCACTATTTTAAATTGTAATAATATTTCACAATATTACTGTTTTTTTGTTGTTGTATTTGTTATCAAATAAATGCAGGCTTGATGAGCAGATGAGACTTCTTTCAAAAAATTTAGACCATTTCTGGTTCTAAATAGAACCATTTCTTCTAAGAGTGTATCCATCCAGAGTTTTTGCTTCTGTTTCAATAGATTTTGCAGTTGGCCATCTGGGTTGCTCGCTTGTCCTTATCCAGCTGAGTGTGTACGAGCTGTGTGAGTTGTCGAGTTTGTGTCTCAGCACTGTGTGTCCTGGTCCGCGTGTGAAACGCACGAGTCGGAGTCCTGAGATGCGGACGGCTCTCAGCACACTGTACCAGAAACGCACCACGTCTTCCTCAGCTCCCCCCACCTCAAACCCGGCCCACTGCAGATGAAGGGTCAGAACGAGCTGGGTGATCCGTCTGAGAGTCCCATCCTTAATCCAGCTTTCTAATATACGCCATTCAGCGCTCTCCAAATCCATACGCAGGACATCCACCTACGCAAACAGACACTAAATGAATGTGACCTTTTGAGACCAAGCAGATGACACTTCAAAAATATTGTATTTGTATGAAATCTGTTCTTTTACTGTAAAATGACCAAAGATGAACACATATGCCCTATAAGTGCAGAGGTGGACAGTTTTAGACACTTATACTGTCAAGGTCCTTGAGTGGAAATTATGTTAGTTTTCGTCGGAAAAACGTGATTGTATTTGGGTGTAATACCGTGGTGTGTCCCAGTGAGTCCATGATGTCAGGCAGTCTGCGCTGTACGTTACCCACGAGGTTTGCATGCGAGTGACTGCGTGGGTTCCTCCAGTCTAACCAAACCTGATGATTCTTAATATATGCGGGCCGACACACTCGACCGCTGGGGTTGAAGCGATGAACCTCACACCCCGCGTACAACATTGCATCTAAGAATGTAGCATCCTTCCCATCCAGGCTATAAAGATACAGACAAAAGATTATTTGGAACAAGTCCAACCAATTACTGTTTCCCTGCATCCGTCATGACACGTCGAGGAAAAGAGCTACAGAATCTGGGACAACCTTCAGCTTTGTGTGTTTTGTTTTTTCATAAATCACATACAACAAATCCCACCCTTCAGACCTAACAAAGAAACACGGACCCCTACATTATTTGAAATGAACATGTCTGGTGCAGAGATGCACCGATATGAAAATGATGGTCGATACCGATAAATCTTTATATTAGAAAGCCGATGACTGATATATTGGCCAATGAATCTAAATCCCGAATTTTATATAATTTTTCAGAGCCTGATTACAAAAACAAAAGTCTCACCATTAAAAGCCATGTCAACACACACAGTTATGTTCTCATTATAATTGTTACAACTTTTTTAAGGGATTTCAATCATATTTCAAGCATCATGGTGAACTGTGCGCATCTGAAGTGTCTCAGCTGAGGGAAATAATCCATTCTTTAATCCATTATGTCTTATACACTGATAAAAATGATTTTATGGTGAGGTAAATACTCCAGAAAAAACAATGTAATTTACATGAAAAAAGTTAGTTCAGGCAAGAATTTAAAAAATAAGTAGTATTCAATTCAATCATATAGAAATGAAAGCGCAAATATCAACATTATAAAATAAAGTAAAATTACTCAACTTTTCTGATACTGGTGTTCCCATCATGCACTGGGCCATGAATAATTAATGAGGTTTATTTTTCACTGTTTTCCATTATGTATTTACACTATTTTACCTTTGCTTTTGTTGTTAGAATTAGTAACTTGCCATTTTTTGATATTTGGAGTTCATTTTCTACTTAAAATGACACATTCAAAGTCAAACACAAAAACGATCCATCAAATTACCATCATTGTGCATTGTCTATCAAGTATTGAGGTCTGCGTTCACACATATAATTTCAAAAGTAAATCATATACTTGAAAAATATGGTATAATTCAATGTTATATTGTTTGAGTGAAATGTTGAACAAAGAAAAATTCAATAAAATAGATATGACTTAATTTCTTATGTTACTTTCACTTAACTTAAGTATAGTTTACTCAAAAATATCAGTGCAAAAACTTGCCTTACGTAAAAAAATTAAGTAAATTTTACTTATTGTTTTTACAGTGTACACTGTAAAAAAATATTGATGGTTTAACTTAAAAAAGTAACCTGGTTGCCTTAAAATTTTAAGTTCATTGAACTGGAAAAAGTGAGTTAATACAATGAAGGAGAATGATTTAATCATCAGAAACTCAAAATTATATGTTATCTGAACTAAATAAATTATTTAAGTTGATTTGACAAAAGAAAATATGTTGTGATAACAAATCTTGAAAATATTTTTTACTGTAAAAAACAACAAGTAAAATTTACTTAATTTTTAAGGCAAGTTTTTGTTTATTTAAACTGAATTTTTCATTTATTTCTTTTTATTAGATTGACCATTTCACTCGAATGTACGTCACAATATGAAAGAAAAGATCTGTCATACTTTTATTTTAAAAAGAGATGACTTTAACTTGCCCTATTTAAAGAAGCTTCAATTAAATAAGGATTTGGGATGTCTTTAACTCTTTCCCTGCCAACGTTTTTTTTTAAGTTGTCAGCCACCGCCAGCCTTTTTGATCATTTACACAAAAGTTTTATGGCCCTCAGAATATTTTGTTGTATAAATATCTGAATACATGTAATATATTAAAAGAAAGAACAGAGCTTCTGCTTTTAAACAAAATAAAAACGGTTTTATTCTACCTCAATGCTTTTTTTTAATCAACACTTGAATATGCAAGTTTAATTTGGAAAAAAAAGCTGAGAAAAACACGTTTTTATCAAAGATTATGGGATTCAGAAAGATGATCAAAACACAGATGGAGTAAATCGAGTCCATCAGGACCTCAAAGCTTCAGTCTTGGTAACATTTCATTCAGTAACATTAGACAGATTTGATTTATATGCTGTTGTTTGAAGATTTAAAAGATATTTTAAACCTGAAACTCGAAAAATTTGAATATCATGCAACATTTAATGTATTTCAGTAATTCAAATTAAAAGGTAAAAAATTATATATTTAGTATATATAACTAGGCATGATTATATTTTTCAGAGGGCCGACATTTCTTTATTTAAAATCCCTTTTTTTTTATTGATTTCATGTAATAGGCAAGGCAAGGCAAGGCAAGTTTATTTATATAGCACATTTCATACACAGTGGCAATTCAAAGTGCTTTACATGGAAGAAATTAAAATAATCAAAAGAAGTCAGAAGTCAGAATATGAATAATAATATTATAATTTTATGAGATTTTGAATTTGGGGGTTTCATAAGCAGTAAGCCATAATTATAACTTTTGCATGATATTCTAATTTTTCGACTTTGACTTGTATCTGCTTACATATACTATCCCTTGTTTCTGCTTCTTCTTCACACCTCTTTTGATCAGGAGATTCTGTCCTCTTTCAGAAGATGTGTAATAACGCCATATAACCGTGAAAACATGGAAAGATGAAAATTCTGTCAATGGCAGGGAAAGAGTAACTCTGCTGTTACTTAAAGGTGCCATATGTAATAATTGAGGTAAAAATAACCAAAAAATGAGCTACACGCATCAAAAGAATGAGAAGAAATAAGTGCAATGATGTCATTAAAAAACTGAAAAGTTATAGTGCTGCCGAGATATAAACCTGAATTAGCATGCTAAATAGAGTGCCGAAGTGATGACGTCACTT